TTAATACATATAAATAAAAGCCACTACCTTGGCTGATTTTACATTACGTGAATTTTCATTTTTACAGTGGAGGTACTGTGTTTTTTTGTTTTGTTTTGTTTTGTTTTTGACAGGCAGAGTGGAGAGTGAGAGAGACAGCGGAGACGCCTGCATCCCTCATCAGAGTACCGGGGTTCAATTCCCGGCGCGGGCTCCTGACTCGCACGGACCCCGGCAGGCAGCGGTGGCGGCTCCGGTGGCTGGGCCCCTGCCTCTCCGTGGGAGACCTGGACGAGATCCGAGCTCCCAGTGCTGGCCTGGCCCAGCCCAGCCTGACTGTCGTGAGCATTTGGGGCTTGAGCCAACAGATGGGAACTTGCTCACTGGCTCACTCTTAACCTCGTATTCCTTGAGGGCGGCTCGCTCTCCAGAGGAGATGCAAGGGCAGAGTTGGGCTGTGCGGGCCCCGCGTGTCCGTCCAAAGCCCTGGTTACAGCCGCGGATCTCGTCCAGCCGCTGCTCTGTTCTTGCAAACGTTTTGCTGCACCGAGCCACACTCGCCTGTCGCTGTCTTGTCTGTGACCGTTTGCTCCAAGGACCCTGTGATCCGCTGACCCTGGGTCCTTCCTGGCTGCCCTCTCCTGGGGAGGCCGGCTGGGCCCCGCTCTGTGGGATGCTCCCGGGGACAAGGAGCGGGGAGCCGGGGGTCGCCATGGTTTTGCTGCCGGACGCGAGGTTGGCTTCTGCTTGTTTGCTGTTGCGGCTGTGCCTCTCTGAGCACGTCCTGTACGCGAGTGCTTTTCTCTCGGGCAGGTGCCCAAGGTCGGAGCCCTGAGCCAGAGGTTATGACCCAGCCGAGGAGGCCTCCGCGGGGGTGGGACTGGCTGACCCCCTACCAGCAGGGTGCGAGGGGTCCCAGCCACCTGCAGCCGCACTGACGCTGGGTGTTGCCGGTTGCTCTAAACATGAGTCACGTCGGTGGCCGTGTGGTAGACTGAGTCCAGGGAGTGCACGTACTTGAACCTGAGGTTTTTCACTCACTGACAACCGACGCTTTCCTTCGGCTTCCGTCGTGAGCTAAGCCGCCCGCCAGTCCAGGCTGTGGGCCGTGGGAACCGCCAATGTTTGGGTATCGCAAAACCGAGTAGTTTCACGAGCCGCAGCCTTGCCGTGGGCGCTCTGCAGGGTCTCGCCTTCACCGTATTCGTGTTCCAAAGGACGCGTCACTCCATCACAGAGCCCTCGCATAGTTTGATGATCGTATTTGGACATCATAGGTTTTCCCTGCCAGCCTCGATATGACACCGTGTGCATGTGACGACGCTGGAGAAGGGGACGTGGGCCCCAGGATGGTGTCTTCAGGGGGCGCGTTTTGCCCAGTCAGGGCGCCAGCTCCACCTCCGAGCCTGCGGGTCCCCTGCCCGGCCGGCGAGGGCGCTCGGGGAGCAGGCCGGCAGGTGGAAGCTCACTGCCTCGGCCTAGTGAGCGGGGCCGGGGCTCCTGCCATCTCACACGCCTCCCTCCTGCCCGCAGCTTTCTTCGGGAAGTACCTGAACGAGTACAACGGCTCGTACGTGCCGCCCGGCTGGAAGGAGTGGGTCAGCCTGCTGAAGAACTCCCGCTTCTACAACTACACGCTCTGCCGCAACGGCGTCAAGGAGCGGCACGGCTTCGACTACGCCAAGGTGAGCTGCGCCCTCCGGCTCGGGGTTCCAGCCGTGACCGCGACGTGACCGTGACCGCGACGCGTGCCCTTGAGCCACTCCCGTGCCCTCAGCGTCCGGCTGTTTTCTTCTCCTGGGGAGTGGCGTCTGTTTCCAGGAGTTCGCTGGACTGACGTTTTACTGAATCAGCGTGTTCTTGAGAAAATGCACACGCGTGTGGGCGGTGGCTTTTCACACATTTGCACGCCGCCACCGCCCCGCCAGGCTGAGAGCAGCGTGGCCACCGCCCCGACAGGCACCGGTGCAGCTCTTTGCCCTGAGCCCCCACTGCAGGCGGGCGCTGGGCAGACCCACTGCGCGCGTGGGGCTGCAGCTGCCGAGAGCCGCGTGCGTCCACCTGCCCCGCCAACCCCGCGCGTTTGTGCCACGCTCCACTGGGTGCCCCTGCCGGCTCCTTCCTCCCTTCTGCTGGGATCCTGCGTTTAGGGCTTTCCAGCCTGGAACTGCTGCAGCCAGAGCTGCTAGCAAGAGTCGCATGCGCACTTAGGCAGACACGGGCACTCGTTTCTGTCCGCCACGCCCCTGACGGCCGGGTTGCTGGGGACGGGGTGTGTGCTCAGTGGGTGCTGCTGAGGGTCTGCCTCCGTCTTCACGGGTGGAACTGACATAAGGTGAGGTGCGCCAAGTGGACAGCGAGGTGAATGTCCACACCCCTGCGCGTTGGTCTAACCACTGCCCCAAACGAGGTATAGGACGCTCCGTGCCCCCAGGTGGCTGCCTCGGACCCTTCCCGGTCATTGCCGCCACCCCCAGGGGTCAGCTCTGCTCAGACTCCCGCCCCCAGGCCTGCTGTTGTCCCCTCGAGAGTGCCACAGGAGTGGAATCCTGCGCCATGTTTGCTCTCGTGTCTGGCTGTTGCGCCCCGCGTGACCTCTGTGCGAGGCAGCGGCATGCATGCCCGTTATCTCCGTGTGCCGGGCGGTGTGTAGATACACGAGAGGGGCTTTAGCCGTTCAGCTGGTGGGTGCTTGGCTTGACCCCTCATTGTGTCCACTACAAAGACGCTGCCAGCCCCCAGCGGGTGCCGACTCCGCACCCTGTGGTCGGAGACCCCGGGCAGCTGTGGAGGCGCCGTGCCCACCTGCGCTCCCGGCCAGAAAGTCAGGAGGGTGCGTGGCTCCAAGTTCCTCACCTACGCTTGGTTTTGTTGGCTTTTTAAAATCACACTTGGCCGCTTCTCGGCCTTTGGGCTGGGATCAAGCGTAGAATCTGTTCTTATCAGTTTACAATCGCACTTGGCTCTCTTATTGGTAAACAGAATTTCACCTGTAACTGAAGAGGAAGTAGGTGAGGCTATTTAACAGACCATCCAGCAGGGACGGTATCAGGCATGGCTGCATCCAGAGGCTCAACAGGAGCTCCGTAGAGGCGGCTTCTCTCCACTCTGTTCCCTTCCATCCTGCCCCCTTCACAGGGACCCCCAGGTGATACCCACCCAGCTTCCTGCCTGGCTGTAGGCAAGTCTCCCACCCACCAAGTCTTGTTGCCTCTGCTTGGCTCGGAATCGGTCACGTGACTGTCCTTGAGCCGCTCAGGGTGGCCAGGGAGCTGCAGTGTTTCTGAGCCCTGGGTAGACGGCCTTGGTGAGCCAGAGTGGGCAGCAGGAGCCCTGCCCAGGAGTGTGGGCCGAGAATGGAGCCCCAAATAAAAGTGGGGAGCTTCCGCTGGGAAAAGGCTGACTACATGCGCAGCAGCCGGAAAGACAGCCTGCCCACCCTCACCAGAGGCTGGGTGGGGGTCCCGCCTGACGTCAGGACCGAGCGTCGGTGGAGTCCTGGCTGACGGTTACTTCCTGTGTGCGCTGTGTGCGCGTCTGCTCAGTGCAGGCTGGGGGCGGGGACCACAGTGACTCGCCCCACCCCCAGGTCTCCCCCACTTCCCCAGGGAAGCCACCCAGACTCCGGGCGACTGCCGACGGCCCGGCCTGACCTCGCTGCCCCCTCCTCTCAGCCCCAGGGCAGGCAGGTTCCCTAAATCTCCTGAAACACCCGTTCCTTCCTTTTTAAAATTCCTGCCCACGCCCGGGCCTTGGCCCAGAGCAGCCGATCCTCGAGTTCTCCCCGCGTCCTCCCGCGGCCGGGGACGGGATGTAGAGGGTCTGCCATCCTGCCCGTTCCCTGCCACACTCACACCGCCCCCGTGAGTGGCAGGAGCCCCCCGGGACAGAAGCACAGGCATTCCTGGGCCCCCAGTGACCGGGGCCTAGGGACAGAGGCCCGCTGCAACAGAGAGGAGGGGCTTTGCAGTCAGAGCTGGCTGGGGTCCAGGGTTCCAATCCTGAAGGCACCAGTGGGGAGCGAGAGCCGGAGCCGAGGCAGGGAGAGCGGGGAGCCAAGGCAGGCCGGGTTCCTATACTCTGGGCGGGACGATGCCTGCGGAGCCCACTGCCAGCCTCCGTGGGAGGCATGGGGCGGGAGGAAGCCATGTTCCTTCCCTGGCTCCTCTACAAGGCCCTCTGAGGATCCCATCCCAAGTCTCTGGTCTCTGCTTAGTAGTGTGTGACCTCAGCTGCCCCATCTGTGAAATGGGTAGAATGTCTGCTTTTCAAAGTTGCTGTGGAAGTCTCTGGAACCAATGTAGAGAGTGACAGTGAGAACCTACATTGGGTACGGGCCTGGGGGCGGCTGGGCTCTTGCCAGGTGCTTTACCCTCTCGGGCAAGCGCTTGGCACCCCCGAGGAGGGAGTGACAGGCTCTTTGCTAGCTGCAAGGGTCTGAGTCCACGCGGGGTTAGCCCCAGCCCCAGGGGCGGGCCGTGGAGCTGGGACCTGAACCCAGTCTTGCCCGACCCCGGAGCCCCCTGCCCGAGGCGTGGCGCTTCCTGAAGGAATGTGAATCTCTGTAAACCTGGCGGCAGGAAGCTTCGCAGCCTCTTCCTGGAGACGCCCAGGGCCCAGGGGAGGGCGACTCCCAGAGAGGGCACCACGAGGGCTGGGCCGGGGGCTGCCTGGGGCAGAGACCACCTCCCCGCCCCGCACCAGGCCTTGGGGGAGTGAAGCCGGTGGGGTCCGGCCCAGACGTAAGTGCTCCCCAGCAGGAAATATCTGTGATCACGAGGCCAGGAGACTGTGAGGCCGGAGAGGCCCGTGCGATTCGGGGAGACAGCTCAGCCAAGTTCAAACCAGGCAGAAACCCTGGCTTCCACGGGCACAGCGTGCTCACCTCCCGGGAGCTCCGTGGGAACCGGGCCCCGGCAGGCGCCTCAGCGGCCACGTTCTCTCCCCCTGGTCAGCGGCCACGCTCTCTCCCCCAGCCCTGGTCAGCGGCCACTCTCTCTCTCTCTCTCTCTCTCCCTCCCTCTCCCTCTCTCTCTCCCCCTCCCCCTGATCAGCAGCCCCTCTCCCTCTCTCCCTCTCATCACTGTCTCTCTCTCTCACCCCCTGGTCAGCAGCCACGCGCTCTCTCTCTCCCCCTGGTCAGCGGCGTGTTTCTTTCTCTCTTTCTCTCTCTCTCTGTCTCTCTCCCCCCCACACCCTCTCTCTCTCTCCCTCTCCCTCTCCCTCTCCCCTACCCTGGTCAGCAGCCAAACTGTTTCTCTCACCCCCTGGCCAGCAGCCACGCTCTCACACACACTCTCTCTCTCTCTCTCTCCCTCCCTCTCTCCCTCCCTCCCTCCCCCTGGTCAGCAGCCCCTCTCCCTCTCTCTCACCCCCTAGCCAGCAGCCACGCTCTCTCTGCTCTCTCTCCGAGCCCTGGGTGCCCATAGGGCTTCAGTGAGCGGAGCCCTGGCCCCTGCCCGGGTCCCCTGCTCCGCTCTCGTCTCCACAGGGAGCCCGGAGTGAGTATCCGCAATGCTTGTTGAGCGAGTGCTAGCTGAGCTCTTGGGCAGCCCCCGAGGGAGGAGCCAGGTCTGCCCCGGCCCCGCCCCAGAGCTCAGGCAAGCCCCGTCTGCACCTGCTGCCCTTCCTCCCGGAGAAGTCCTGTTCTAAGTGACCGTTCGCGGAGAACAGGACAGCTCGCAGGTCCCTCACAAGTATCGCCCCACGTCAGTGCAGATGAGGGGATGTGGGGAGAGGGGGCGGGGAGAGGGGGCGGGGAAAGGGGCCATGTCCCCAAGCCCTGGCACCACCTCCCGCCGGCACAGGTGCATGGGGTGGTCTGGCTTCCGGGCACTGGGTGTGCCGGCCGCACCTTGGCCCCGGGGAGCGGGAGGAGGCCAGGGTGACTCTGCAGGGCAGCCAGCCTATCTCCGGGGTCTCCCAGGCACCCTGCCCGGCCGCCCGCCCATTTCACTTTCCTGTTCACAACTGAGAATTGCTAAATCCTCCCTCGTGGCTCACCCCAAACAGCTCGTCCAGATCTGAATACGGCTTTCCCTGCTAGATCTGGACCCGGGTCCGTTCTCTCTGCAGGATCTGGGTCTCTGCACCCTTCCCCCAGCCACTCAAACCGGAAGTCAGTCAATCAGTAGAGGGCTGGCGGCAGCCCCTACTGCACCTCGCAGTCCAGTTAATGGCCTCGTCCTAGCTGTCTGCCTCCAGGCCAGGGAACACTGCCCCTGCCATCTTGACCCCAGACCTGGGCTTGGACCAGCAGGGTTGGCTGGTTCTCACTGGCCAGACCTGGCTGCCAGTCGTGCCCTCCCATCCAATCCCATGCATGGAGGAGGGCTCAGACAGGTGTGGGTGTCGGATATCCTTGCAGAGGTAGAGAGGGTGGGTGAGTGGCCCTTAGGCAGAAGCTGCTGAGCTGCCGGGACCCTCACAGCTATGAACCTCACCTTACAGAGCTGGCGTGTGCGGGCGCTGTGGCCAGTGCTTCCTATCTGTTAGCACTGTAGACCCCCGTGCCAGCCTGGAGAGGCAGGTGCAGCCCCCGCACTGTGTACACACACACACACACACACACACACACACACCAACCACTCTGCTAAACAGGAATCAGGACACCGGGGTAGGAGCCCCTGAGTTACCTACCAGGGACCACGTAACCCACCTCCTGCGTGGGTGCTGCGGGCGGCTCCCCGGAGCTCAGGGAATGTGGAATTAAAAGGTAAGTTTATCTTGGCGCAAAACATTTTGAAATCCACCCATCCTGGGGTCTTCAAAAACTCATCAAAAATACATACTATGAATCAGTGATTTCAGAATGCTTTGCACCAAAATAAACTTATCTCTTATTTGTATTTCCCACAGACTTTTTGAAATGCCTTCCTACTGTGTGTTCTTAGACTTTGTATAAAAGGTAGTATATCATGCGTATCCTCACGGGATGGAACAAGATTTAGCCACGTTACGCATGTGTCTGTTGTAAGACTGATCCATGTAACCGTGGTTTATTCTTAAAAAACAAATTGATTGATTGATTTGAAAGGCAAAGTTAGAGGGAGAGACAGAGGGGTTGGGAGGCTTCCATCCTCTGGTTTTACTCTCTAAATGGCCATAACAGCTCGGGCTGTTTCAGACCGAAGCCAGGAGCTTGGAACTCCATCCAGGTCTCCCACATGGGTGCAGGGCCCCAAGCACTTGGGCCGTCTCCCACTGCTTTCCCAGGCCCCTTAGCAGGGAGCTGGATTGGAAGTGGAGCAGCCGGGACTTGAACCAGCGTTCCTATATGGGAAGCTGGCATCACAGGCCACAGCTTCATCTGCTGTCCCACAGTGCCAGCCCATCAAGTTCTTTCTCACTGCCGTATGATCCCATTGTATGTGCTTTCCTGATAGTGGTCATTGTGGCCACCAGGGGAGTGAACCAGAGAATGGAAGATCAATCGATTCTCTCTCTCTAACTCTGCCTTTCAAGTAAATAACCTCTGTACTGTGGACTTTTGTTCTTACTGGGACAGGCAGAGTTAGAGAGAGACAGAGAAAGGTCTTCCTTCCATTGTCCCTCCACCCCCCCAAAATGGCCGCTACGGGCCAGCGTACTGTACCGATCCGAAGCCAGCAGCCAGATGCTCCTCCTGGTCTCCCATGCAGGTGCAGGGCCCAAGCACTTGGGCCATCCTCCACTGCACTCCCAGGCCACAGCAGAGAGCTGGACTGGAAGAGGAGCAACCGGGACAAAATCCGGCGCCCCAACCGGGACTAGAACCTGGGGTGCTGGTGCCCAAGGTGGAGGATTAGCCTAGAGAGCCGCAGCGCCGGCCTCAAGTAAATAACTCTTTAAAAAAATTAGAATCTCTCTGGGTTGACTCTTGTTCTTTCTCATAACAGTTTCTCTTGGGACAACTTCCCACATCAGTAACCACAGATTAAAGTCTCAGTTATTTGAAAGGCAAAGTTACAGAGAGGGAGGGAGGGAGGAAAAGAGAGAGTGAGCGAGAGAGAGTGAATGGATCTCCTAACACTGGTTCACTCCCCAAATGGCCACAGTGGCCGGGGCTGGGGCAGGCTGAAGCCAGGAGCTTCATTTGGTCTCCCCGTGGGTGACAGGGGCCCGGGCAGCAGTGTTAGGAAGCTGGATCAGAGTGGAGCAGCCGGGACTCGAATTGGCACCCACGTGGTCCTTATCCGGCACCAGGATGCCAGTCCCCAGATACACTGTTTAATGAAAGCAAGGTAGTTAATTGCCTCTGCTGGCCACTGCCTATGCTTTGCTTTGTAAACGATGTTGCAGTCACCCTCCTGTGCCTCAGACACAGTGGCTGGGTGTCCTTGAGGGCATGTGTGTAGACGTGAACGCAGCATAGCACGTGTAGGTGGGCACCCTTCAGGTGGAAGCTCCAGCCCTTTCTCCACCTTTATTTTTATCCAATTATCTTTCTGAAAGCAGCAGCTGTGGGTGAATCGCTCTCTAGAAATCAGAGGATGAATCTCACGAACGTTTTGCCTTCAAGCCAGATCAGCAGCTGAAGATTCACTGTTAGGGAGAGTTCAGGCAGATCTCAGCATCTTAGCTGAGCTTTTAAAGCTCCTGGTTTGGCCAGCGCCGCGGCTCACTAGGCTAATCCTCCACCTAGCGGCGCCGGCACACCAGGTTCTAGTCCCGGTCAGGGCGCCAGAGTCTGTCCCGGTTGCCCCTCTTCCAGGCCAGCCCTCTGCTGTGGCCCGGGAGTGCAGTGGAGGATGGCCCAGGTGCTTGGGCCCTGCACCCCATGGGAGACCAGGAGAAGCACCTGGCTCCTGCCATCGGATCAGCGCGATGCGCCGACCGCAGCACACTGGCCACGGTGGCTGTTGGAGGGTGAACCAACGGCAAAAGGAAGACCTTTCTCTCTCACTCTCTCTCTCACTGTCCACTCTGCCTGTAAAAAAAATAAAAAATTAAAATTAAAATTTTTTTAAAAAGCCCCTGGTTTCTGGGCACTTACTTTTGCTCTAACTCTTCTAACTCTTCTCACCCAGTGTGTGAGTCAGCCCCTGCTGGGGTCCAGTGCTGTGGCCTGGCAGGTAAAGCTGCTGCCTGCGACTCCAGCATCCCATATGGTTCGTGTCCTGGCTGCTCCGCTTCCAGTCCAGCTGCCTGCTAACGCGCCTGGGAAAGCGGCAGAGAATGGCCCAAGTGCTGGGCCCCTGCACCCACGTGGGAGACCCAGATGAAGCTCCTGGCTCCTAGCTCTCACCTGGCCATTGCAGCCATCTGGGGAGTGAATGAGTGGATGGAAGATTTGTCTCTCTCTCTCTCTCTCTCTCTCTCTCTCTCTCTCTCTCATTCTGTAACTCTTGACTTTCAAATAACTTTTTTAATGATCTCTTAACAAAAAGGAAGCCGCTCACTCTTCGGGAGACGCACTGCACACTTTGCTGTCACCTCCGCGTCTCACCTGCTGGCGTCGTCCCTCCCTCCAAGGCGCCAGTTGCCACCTGCCCGCTGTCCCAGCACACGCGGCGAGCTCACGCCTTCCTGAGCCCTTCTACCCGCTCTTTCTCCTCTCTAGAACTCTTTCTCTAATAATGGGGGGGGGGGGCACAGAGAGCACCAGCGAGCGAGTGTGCACCCCGGACAGGGTCGCCATTCAGATTCCTCCACAGTGCCCTCACAGGGCGGAAGTGGACTGGGCCGCGGGCAGGAGCGGGGAACTCGTCGAGGTCTCCTGCATGGATGGCAACAACCCAATTCCTCGGGCCGTCACCTGCTGCCTCCCCGGGTCTGCATTAGCAGGACGCTGGGGGCCGGAGGCAGACACAGGTGTCGAAGCCAGGTGCCCCGTAAGGGACGTGGGACGGATGCGCTGAGCCCTCAGCCGAATGCCCGCCCCTGGAACTCGGCCGCTTCTTCGGTGACTCTCAGCCCTGGGCAGCATCACACGCTGCCCACGTCGCAGCCTCAGCCTGGGCGCAGACGTCAGCGAAGCCCCCGGGAGATTCCCGCAGGCCCCCGAGGGTGAGACCCAGAGGTGCCCACCTTTCCTTGCCCAGGCCATTCTCCTCAATCAGGTCTCAGCTCACCTCCTCAGAGAAGCCCTCCCTGACCGCCCGGCCCAGCCCCAGTTGCTCCTGGCTCCTCTCGTAGTGGCTCGTCTGGCACACCTCGTGACTGTCTCAGTTTGGCTGCTCCCGCCCCCTGCAGGGGTGCAGGGATGCAGGGATGCCCTGCCCTGCCCAGAGCCTTGGGAAAACCTCACATTCAGGAGATCCGAGCTGTGTGACGGAGGGCGATTCACTTAACCTCTCTGCTCCTCCATTGTCTGTTCTAGACAACAGGGAGTCTCACGATACCTGTTTCCCACGGTCGTGGGCGGACACAGAGAACACAGGACAGCCCTGGCATGAGCCCTCCCTGTAGCCTCTGTCAAGTTGCTGCTCCTGCCCGCCCTCCCTTTCTTTTCCTCCATGGAGCCCAGCACCCTGTGCCGTCCCGTGGCCCTTACTGCTCCACAGCGCCCAGCAGGTAGCGGGTGCTTGGGAGGAAAGCCGGCCGCTCACCCACCACCCTCTCTCCCTGCACCCCCAGGACTACCTCACGGACCTCATCACCAACGACAGTGTGAGCTTCTTCCGCACATCCAAGAAGATGTACCCGCACCGGCCCGTGCTCATGGTCATCAGCCACGCGGCCCCGCACGGCCCCGAGGACTCAGCCCCGCAGTACTCCCGCTTCTTCCCCAACGCGTCCCAGCACATGTAAGCCTGGGCCCCCGGGGCGGGAGGGTCTGGCCGGGCCCCAGCCGTGGCTTCGGCTCACATGGCTCTGCCCGCTGCAGGTGCCAGGCTGGCACTTGGGGCCCACGTCCTCCTGCCGCGGGTGCTGTGAGGGGGGTCGGGACGGTTTCCTCCGTGAGCCTGTGGATTTCACGCACTTGGGGACGGAGAGCGTGCTTTGCCTGCTGCCAGCCGGTCGCCGCACTTCTCAGCCCTCGCTTTGCACCAGGGGACTCACAGCGACCCCTTGGAGTATCCACTACCCGGGGCCCAAAGAGTGCCTTGTGGAACCCCGAGTCGGGAGCCCAAGGCTGCAATCAGGGTGTCCCCTGGGGCTCGGCAGTGCCACCTGCCCCCGGGCCTCTCCCTGGGGCTGCTTGAGTGTCCTCAAGACGATGGGGTAGCGGCTTCCTGCAGAACCAGCAGAGAGAAAGAGGGACCAAGACGGACAGCACAGTCTAGTAGCCTAGTCTCGGAAGGGAGATTGGGCTCACGTGGGAGGGACGCCCTGGGGCGAGAGAAGTGGTGGCCGCGGGGGCCATGTTGGGGCTGCCTGTCCCCCGGGGAATTACCATTTTATAGACGAGAGAACTGAGGCGTTGAGAGGTGAGTGGACTCACCCGAGACCCCCCTCCCCACCACTGCCCCGTGGAAGAGTCAGGGTTCAAGTGCAGCCCCGTATTCATCTGCCTGCCTTGCCTGCCCCTCCGGTCCTCCCTCACCTCCCACTGGCACATCCTTCTGGAAAGTTCTCTCGCTTTCCTGGGCCTCCAGCCACCTCCGGCTTAGCAGGGACGCAGCACAGCCCTTCTGTGACATTCCTGGGCGACAAGGACAGGGCAGTGTGGAGTCTGCCTGAATATTCAGGGCGTTTAATATTCATCACCGTCAGGATGCAGTGCCCTGCTCACCGCGGCTGTAATTACCTCCTGGCAGGGTCGGGGGAGGCGGAGGCCGCGCGTTAACCTCCTGCTCCCTGGTCTGTGGGGCTGAGGCTGTGACAGAAGATGATGAACCATGGTCCAGGCGCGGGGCTGCAGGGCAAGGCTCCCCGCTGGCCCCCCAGGCCAGCCCCTCCCCCAGGTGCCCGCCCCAGGGTGGTGCGGGTGGGGCAGCACCTGCTCGCTCCCCCACCCCTCTCCTGCGCCCAGCAGCCCCGGGGCTGGCCAGGGCTTCCACCAGGGGCCTTATCTTCCCTTTGAAAGGAAAATTGCGGAAGTGGAGGATGGGCGGGAGTTGAGTCCAGCTGTGGCTTCGCAGGGCGTGGAAAGCGCTGTCCCCGCTGTGCCGAGCGCGTGGCCCGGACGCTCACCGCAGCTGGGCTGCTTCAGGCTGAGCGCGAGGCGGGGAAGAGGAGCCTGGGGGTGCGCGTCCTCACCCCCGCAAGCCCGCCCTGCGCCCCACATGGGGGAAGACCTGTGCACTCTGACAGGCGGCTGGGACCACCCGCGGCCACTCCACTCCTGACCCCAGGGCCCCATCACCTTCCCCTCTGCACACGGGCACCCAGACACGCTCATGTGAGCACACGTGAACACACGCAAGCACACGCAGACGCACTCACGGGCACTCACGGGTGCACTCACGTGCTCACGTACTCACGCACTCGGCCCCTCGGCCCTGGAGCTGCGTTCTCGCTGTGGCATCTGCCTGGAGGCTCAGGGGCCTCTCTGGTCCTGGGGGAGGGGACGGCCTCTGTCCCGCTGGACCCAGCGTCCTTTGGCCTCAGAATCCCGCTCCAGGAGCCTGTCCGGGAAAGGCTGCAGACCACACTCGCTGGCTCCGGAGCAGGTGCCAGCCTCCTCCTCAGAGGTTCAGGGGTCCTCGCTAAACATTGCACCCTGGACCCCGGGCCCCTGGGCCTGCAGGAGCACTTGGCCCACACCGTGTGCTGCGCTGTGCAACCCCCACCTCACCAGGGGGAGGTGGGCTTGGCAAAGCCGGTGTGGGGGAGGGCGGTGATCCTGAAAATCGAAGGCAGCTGAAGGCAGCGGCAGCGGGGGCCCGGGAAGAATTAGCAGCGGGAGGCGGCAGGGCACTGCCGAGTCTGGAGGCCGTGGCTCAGCTCCCGCCTTGCACGGCGACCGCGTCTGCCCGGAGCGGCACAGGAACCTTGGGGGAGATCTGAGAGGCTGCTCCTGTTGCCGAGCGCCCCAGCCTCAGCAGAGGCGTCACTACGGAACCCCCACCCCGGGTCCGCTCGCCTGCTGCGCACGCACGGGGAGGTGGTGTTGACTGCAAAGCGTGGAGCAGGGAGCCAGGCAGTCCCACCCTCCTCCCAGGCCGCCCGAGAGCGAGGGGCGAGGGTTCTTAGGAGCAGAGGTTGGGACTGAGAGGCGCGGGATCAGCTCACGTCCGTGTCCCCGGGTGGGCAGGGGTGCTTCCTGTGATGGGTCGGCTCTGTCGGGAATTAGTGGTGACCCTGGGGGCTCCAGGTGGTCTGGGGACCGCATGCCCGGCCCTGGGATTCCCCGACACCAAGCACCCCAGGACAGCACTGGCCATCAGGGTTTGTATCTATCAGAGAAGCAAACGACCCCTTGGAGGGCCAGCTGGATCGCCCCCCGGAACCAGGGAATTCCCCTAGCTAAAGGCCGGGCAAGGACGCCCTGGGCTGAGGGGGACAGGCAGGAGGCTGGGTCCTGCTTCACGTCACGGGGGTTCGGTTTCACTGCCATCCTGCCGTGGGGGACAGCAGGAAGAACTTAGCCCTCGCCAACAAGGCCTGTCCACCCCGCGCTCTCCTGTCCGCCCTGTGCCCTCCTGTCCACCCCGCCCCACCCCTATAAGACTCATTTTGAAAAGCTTTGTCCACAGCCAGTGCAAGCTCAACCTTTATTTTCTGTGCGGCCTGGAAGGAAGGAAGAATGGGAGGGAGGGAGGCCTGAGGGGCACGGGGCCCAGGCTCCTGAGACCCCCCCACTGGGTGGGGTCTTCAGCAGGGGCTTCTGCCGTGTCGCTCAGAGCCGGGCCGCGCACAGGCAGCGTGGCAGAGGGTGCTCTTGGTTTAGCGATCATTACCGGCATCATCTGGAAAGTTCAAGGCCGTGACCTGGGTACACCTGTGTTTCTGCTGCGTCATCCCGCGGCAGGTGTGTCTCAGTCCAAGGTTCTGCCGGGGAACCTGTGATGTGCACACCGGGCGGGTCCCGAGTGCGTGTCGGGAGGTGTCTGTGATGAGGTCGCCACAGCGGCGTCAGATCGCCACTCTGCCCCTGGGAAGTTACCGCCCCGCCCCGGGCCCAGGGCTGGCAGGACTGTGGCGGAGTCAAGGGGAGAATGGAGCCCTCTGACCCAGGCCTGACGGCAGTCACCGAACCCAAGGCTCCGTCCCTCGTTCACCGAGAGCCTGGGCGGGTCCCTGGACTTCTCGAACCCCTGTGTCCGCTTCAGGGAGCGGGCGATTAAGCTGTGACTGGGAGAGTGGTCGCGATGATGGCGCGAGCACGCACTGGGGGCTGCCCTCGGGGTTCTGCCCACACACGTGAGCTGCTTGATGTGCAGGTGAAGTTCACGTTTAACCAAAGTCTGCTGCCAAAGCACGCTCCGTAGCCCACCGTAACCCCGTGGCGGTTGCCCAGTGCCAGGGCGGTGGGCGACTCTGAACTTGAGCCTCTCCCCTTCGGAGGAGAATCTGAGTGAGTCCTAGAGAGGGGTCAAAGGGCCCGGGGTCAGGTCATCCGTGCCCCAGGCCTCTCGTGTACCCCTCGCTGTGGACAGCTGCTCTCTGAAGGCGGGCCCTGGCTCTGGCCCCTGCCCGCACCCGCACCCGCACCCTGACCCTCCCGTGTGTGTCTCCCCAGCACGCCAAGCTACAACTACGCCCCCAACCCAGACAAGCACTGGATCATGCGCTACACAGGGCCCATGAAGCCGATCCACATGCAGTTCACCAACGTGCTACAGCGCAAGCGCCTGCAGACCCTCATGTCTGTGGACGACTCCATGGAGACGGTAGGCGCCTCCTGCTCCCGGGCCCCACACTCCCTGCCCCCTGGGCCCCACGCTCCCTGCCCCCGGGGACTCCACGCTCCCTGCCCCCGGGCCCCACGCTCCCTGCCCCCAGGGACTCCACGCTCCCTGCCCCCCAGGACCCCACGTTCCCTGCCCCCCCCGGGGGGCTTTCCTGATCGTCATCAGCTGGGGGTGAACAGACGCGGAGGCAGCGCCCGCCGGGCCATGTCTAGACTTGAGAGCAATCCAAGCAAAACCCCGGCCCGCTCGGAGCTCTAATTCCAGGTCTATGCCACCCAATATCATAGCGACGTGCGGCCCCATTTTGGGCTTTGTCACGTGCATTTTCTCAAATTTTTACTTGATAGGCAGTAGGTTCCCATCTGCCGGTTCACTCCGCAAACCCACAACCGCCAGGGCTGAGACGGGGCTGCAGCCGGGAACCCGGACTCCATCCGGGTCTCCCACGTGGTGGCAGGGACCCAAGTGCCCGAGCCGCCGCCCGCCGTGTCCCGGGCTACGCAGGAAGCTGGCGTGAGGAGCTCCCGCGTGGGACGGGGCGGCCCGAGCAGCGTCTTAACTGCTTGCCCAGGTGCCTGCCCCCACCGACGGTTTTTTAACAGCTTTATTGAGGCCTAATTTGCACACCCTACGATTCACCCGTTAAAGTGTGCGACTGAGCGGTTTCCACTCGCAGGCAGGTGCAGCCCTCACCAGCCATAACCACAGGCATTTCCCATTACCCCAGAAAAAACCGTCGCCCCCCAGATCACCCGTCCCCAGAGGGCCTGGGCGTTTCACACAAACGAATCGCACGCCGTGAGGCCCGTGTGACGCTGCTGTCACCCAGCCTGACGTCCCCACGGCTCTCGCAGGGCGGGGCCGGTGGTAACGTTCATTCCTTTTTATGGCAGAATAGTATTCCATCGCCTGGATGCAGATCCCGCTGTGTTATCCATGGCGATGATTAAATTCAACAAAATCAAAACGTCAGCTCTCCCACACACCAGCTGCGTGTCGCGTGCTCACGGCAGCCACAGGGACGGCGCAGTGCTGGCTCGCAAACCCTGGGCAGCGCAGGGACCGACGTCCCCCGGGTCGAGGCTGTGCCCTGGGTCACACGCCCCAGTGGCTGGGCACCCACGTCCCATGTACAGCGCCCCTCCCTGCTCCTGATGCCAGCTCGCTCGTGGGCACCCCGGGAGCAGCAGGGCTTGGCTCTAGTGCGTGAGTCCCTGCCACCTTTGTGGGAGACCCAGCCTGGCCCAGCCCTGATTCCTGTGGGCATTTGGGGAGCGAACTGACGGATGGGAGACCCACCTCTCTGTCTCTCTGTCTCGTTTCTGTCTCTCGCTCGCTCTCAAAGTGAGACAATAAAAGTCTGCCACAGTTGAGCTTCGCCTTCGTTGGACAGCACGCGTTGGGTGCCACCGCCCAGGGGCCACGGGCAGGGAGCAAAATCCCACCCCGAGGGACTTCCCTCCCCTCTCGGGGGCAGACAAGCTGCACACCAGAAGCCAGCGCTGGTGACGCTGGCAAGGACTGCTGCGAAGAGCCATGTGGGAGGGGACCGGAAGTGGCCTGGGGGGAGGCCTGCAGCGGGGGGAGGGGTCGCAGGCCCGGGTCTGTGCCAGGAGGCCCCCCGCACCCTCACCCGCTGCCTGTGTCACAGATCTACAACATGCTTGTGGAGACGGGCGAGCTGGACAACACCTACCTCGTCTACACCGCTGACCACGGCTACCACATCGGCCAGTTCGGCCTGGTGAAGGGCAAGTCCATGCCCTACGAGTTTGACATCAGGGTCCCGTTCTACGTGCGGGGCCCCAACGTGGAGGCCGGCTCTCTGTAAGTGCGGGGGCCCCACTCGGCATCTGCAGCCTGAGCCGCAGCCCGGGCAGAGGCGATTCCGGCGCTGGGCCCCGGGGCCCGTGTAGGAGCCGGCGTTCCCTGGGGTGGACTCCGGCGTGTGCAGTAGCGCTCCGCGGGGCAGCCTGGGCCGGCAGTGGCTGCACACCTGCACGCGTGTGGGCAGCCGGCCAAGCCCGGGCAGCTGGGGTGTGTGCGCGTCTCGCCCAGGGGTACAAAGGGCACTTGGATTTCCGTTCTGGGCTTGGCAGTCGCGGGGTCTGCCGATTGTCAGGGCGGAACTCAGACCTGGGCCTGGGCCAGGGTTATCAGCTGACATCAGCTGAGCTGGCTCCCTGCCCGTCCTTGCTCGGGGACCATGTGGGCCGCAGCCTTCAGCCGCCATTGCCCTTGAGCTAACCTTGGACAGGACACCTGCTGGCAGCAAACTGGTGCCTAGGACCCAAGCCCACCCCCAACGTGGAGGAGAGAAAGAGGGCGCTAATGTCAGGGGCATTACAGACACAGGGCATCTGTCAGCCAGGACTCCATGGGTCACAGGCAGAAGTGACCCTCCACCCAGATAGATGGAAGTTGCTCAAGTAACTGAAAAGGCCGACCCTAGCTGTGGCTTCAGGCGTGGCTGGATCCAGCAGTCACACGACGCCATCAGGAAATTCTTGGTCCCCATCTCTCAGTCCTGCTTCCTTCCCAGGCTGGGTCGCAGCTCCGACTTCCAGCCATCCAGCCTGGAAAACAGGCAGTGGTTTGAGCAGAAGCCCCGAACCCCTCACAGTGGCCAGGGTGATCAAAACCCCCGTGTGACCAGGCTGAGATCTGAGTGGGACGGGGCAGTTCCTCCGGGGTTAGAGGCTGGTGCCGCAGGGCCAGGCGTGGTGCTGGCCGGGAGCCCGGGGGGAGCAGGGCAGGGGCGTGGCCTCCTTCCCCGCAGGCTGCAGTCAGCTCAGCCGCGCCCCTCCCTCGGGGGTCCCCAGCTCCCTCACCCTGGGCGACGTGGCCTCAGAGTCCCCTCGGGTGCAGCACCTGCCCCTGGCCTCTGGCACACTCGGCCCCCGGACATTCTCGGGCACCGGCTGGGTCACAGGTGACTGAAACCCCGCGACCCAGGCCCAGCCCCTCGTGCTGCAGGGCCAAGTGTGTCCTTCAAGCGTGGGGCCCATGACCCTGTGCTAGGCGCAGCCGCGGAGCCGCTGCCCCCACGCTGGGAGAGCAGCAGGTGGAAACAGGAGGCAGGAGCGTGGCAGGCGGTGACAGCTCTTCCCTGATATTTACCAAGGCCCTACTGTGTGTTCCCAGCTGCACCTGCTGGGCATGCAGCGGCGGCTTCCTGCCGTGTGGACCGTGTCGACAGCCGGCCAGACACAGGGCAGGCTGGGAGGCGTCGGGATGAGCCTGGAGGGCGTGTCCGTGCCAGGGGACGAGTGGCCACTCAGGAAGCAGGTGGCTCTGTGTGGGGCGCAGCTGCTCAGGCTGCGATCTCCCCTTGCGCCTCGGCTGGGCAAGGGCAGGTCAAGTGCAGACAGGAACTTGACGCACGCACGCGGCCGGCCTGTCCCTGCTGGGGTGGGGTCATGGTGGCTTCTGCAAAGCCAGCAGGAGGGGATAGCGACGAGGGCGGTGTGGCACAGAGGCGGCGGCCCACGCCACCCTCGTCTTCTTGTTTGCTACAAGGCCAGCCCTGGCCCACGCTCACGAAAGTGTGGTCTCGGTGGCGGGGCGGGGAGGGTGCTCCCAGGGGCCACTTGGAGCCTGTCATGGGCCTAGTGGATGAGGGACATGGGGAGAATGTTCCAGACACAGACCAGCAGGGATGGAGGGCTGAGGCTGGACTGGGCCCTGCCTGGGAAGGAACAGCAAGGTGGCCAGCGATGGCCTCAGAGGTCCAGGGAGGGTCTGTGTCTGTGGGTCAGGGTTGGGGGCGGCCTGTGGTCGGCGTGGAGACGGGGAGGGCATGCCAGCAGCAGGCTGGGGCTCTGCTGAACGCGGGCACCGAGCAAGCGGAGCTGCCGAAGGTGGAGGTGACGGCAGGTGTCTCCCGGAGCCGTCTCTCCTCTCCCAGGCAGGGCTCCGCCCCCGCCACCACCGCGCAGGGAGCTGAGTCTCCACTGTTCTGCCTCCCCAGGAACCCCCACATCGTCCTCAACATCGACCTGGCCCCCACCATCTTGGACATCGCAGGGCTGGACATCCCCGCGGACATGGACGGGAAGTCCATCCTCAAACTGCTGGACACGGAGCGGCCAGGGAACCGGTGAGGGGCAGTAGGGCCCCCACCCGTGGGAGCTCAGGGTCCCGCTGCCTGGGCCCGGGGGCTCTTGCACCCCTCACCCCCAGCACCGCCCCACCATGAAAACGATGGGTGCCGCTCTCCAGGTCCCGCCTTCCCGTGTGCGGTCGAGGGGCCTCTCGGAGCTCAAGTTTGCAAAACTTGAAATAATAGCAGCAGCAACAGCAGGAAACGTGGCGGCCGGCCCCAGTGTGTCCTTCAAGCGTAGGGCACAGTCCTACGCTGGCAGCAGTTCCTGCTCGAGGGGCGGCGCATTTTGGTTCTCGCTGGTTCCCAGTGAGGTGGGCGTTCTTAGCATCCCCGGTTTTTATTTAATTTCAGTGATTTGAAGGCACAGGGGCCGGTGGTGGCACAGCCCAGTGAGCTGCTGCCTGCAGCGCCTGCAGCCCACGAGAGCCCGGATCCAGTCCCACCTCCAATCCCTGCTAATGCGCCTTGCAAAGCAGTGGAGGATGCCCATGGACTGGAGCCCCTGCCACCTGTGTGGGAGACCCGTTTTGAGTTCCGGACTCCTGGCTTCAGCCTGGCCCATCCCTGGCCATTGCTGCCATCTGGGGGGGAGCCAGCAGATGAAACACCTCTCTCTCTATGTGTGTGCGTGTGTGTGTGTGCGTGTGTGTGTGTGTGTCTCTCTCTCTCACTTAGCCTTTCAAGTAAAAGAGCACACACTCCCATGTACTGGGTTCCCTTCCAAAGCCAGGAGCCGGGAACTCCATCTGGGTCCCCCGTGTGGTTGGCAGGGACCCAAGTACTTGGGCCGTCCCCTGCTGCCTCCCGGGGTGCGCGTGAGCAGGAAGCTGGCGTCGGGAGCAGACCTGGGACTCGAGCCCAGGGGATCTGCAACGCCACGCGGCGTCCCAAGCTGTGCCAGACACACCCTAGGGTGCCCGTTCTAAGCATTTGGAACTGGGAGTCCCAGAGAGGGTGAGAAACCTGCGGCTGTCTCACAGCAGGCGTGGGTGTGGCTTTCAAGCCAGGGGGTGCCATGGGAACAGGGACGGTGACAAAAACAGGTGGGCAGGTGGCTGAGTCAGGCCGGGACAGGGAAGATGGGGACACAGCCACTGGTATGGCCACAGCAGCATCTGGTGGCCAGCGCTGTAACTGCTCCCAGGTTCTGGCTTCAAGGTGCTGTGTGGCCCCTGGCCTGCGTCTCCTGCGGCCAAGCCCTCCCTGTGTGGCCTCCCCGAGGGCAGATTCTGTGCACCTGCGGGAGGGGGCAGCCTCTCCCGCCCCCACCATGAGGCCCATGGGTTGGGGGGGGCGCCAGCTTGGGAGCCCGTACCCCAGGAGCCCTGGGTTCAGGACGGAAGCAGCATCTCTCTCACCCTGCCAGTCCCCTCCCGCTGCAAGGCCGGGGGTGGCAGCGATGGCATGGCCCTGCGTGAAGGACACGGGGCAGGGGTCAAGGGGAGAGGGCACCCGGAGGGCAGGGCCATTGACCGGAAGTCCAGACAGCCACACACGTGGTGTGGACTCGCGGGGACCCCGTGTCCTTGCTGCAGGCGCAGAGACCACGGGCACAGCCGCTTGGAGCTGCGTGGGAGTCCAGTGCCTCCGCAAGGAAGGGGGTGGGCGGCGTGCAGGCCCCCACGGGGCTAAGAAGCTGCCCATGGGCTTTTCCCCAGGTTCCACTTGAAGAAGAAGATGAGGGTCTGGCGGGACTCCTTCCTGGTGGAGAGGGGGTGAGTGCCGGGCCCGTGGTGCCCCCATTTCCGGGTGTCAGCAAGGATAAGCCCCAGCCAGGAGGGAAGCCCACGTGCCATCCCTGTGCGGGGGGCGGAGTCCGTGTCTGGAGGCCACGTGGTTTGTCCAGGCTGGTTTCTAACTTACAGCCGCCGCGTGCCATGGGGGAGGGCCCTCTAGAACTGCAGTCTCTCAAGTCGCTTGAGAGCCAGAGCTGTGGTCCGGCTGCACCTGCTGCCCTGCACCCCGCCACCGCCACGGCGAGGATGAACCGGCGCCGGGTGCCCGTGGCAGGTGCACGGCCCCGGGGCTCCCAGGCCAGCCCCTGCTCCTGCTCCTGCCCCACAGCAAGCTGCTGCACAAGCGGGACAGCGACAAGGTGGACGCCCAGGAGCAGAACTTCCTGCCCAGGTACCAGCGCGTGCAGGACCTGTGCCAGCGGGCCGAGTACCAGACGGCGTGCGAGCAGCTGGGGCAGGTGAGGCTCGGCGCGGCCCCTCCAAGCCCTGCCCAGGGCCCCCGTGGTGTGGCCTTCGCCCGCTGGCCTGCGGCGCCCGTCCTGCCCAGGAGGCCAGCAGCCACGGCAGAGGTCCCTGGCCTTGTCGTCCTGTGGTCGCTTTTGCAGGCAGGGGGGAGGGGCAGTGGGTGCAAGGGAGCCACTGTGCAGAGCAGGACAGACAGACAGCGAGGCTCAGCCGGCCTGCGCCGAGCTCCCGGTGCCAAAGCGCTGGCCGCAAGGGGCGCTGGGCGAGCAGGGAACCCGGCTGCCCGGCGCCTGCTCCCCGCGGTGTGGCCTGGGACAGCGGCTGCCCCACAGGGTGGCCTGAGCTGTAGGCGATGAGTCGGGGCCCCCTCCCTGGGCAGCACAAGGGAGCAGAGCACACAGCAGGCCCCCGTGGCTGGAGCGGGTGGACAGGAGGGGAGAGGGGCGCCGCCGGGCCGAGCACGGGGTCGATACAGGAGAGAGTCCATCACTGCTCCTGTTACCCTCCTGACCCAGGCCCTTGAGTTGGTGTGCATGCATTCAACTGCACCTGTTTATCTGGGCCTGGTAAGGTGGGGAGGGGGGTTTTAGACAAGGTGGTCAGGGAAGGCCTCCTGGAAGAGGTGACACTGGAGCGGAGACCTGAGGGGTGAGAGGCCTCCAGCTGCAGGCAGAGCTGGAGCAGAAGTCCTGCAGACAGAAGAGAGTGCAAGGGTCCTGAGGCAGCGCATGCTTGGGATGTGGGGAGAGAGATTACAGGGCCGAGGATGAGCGAGAGCAGGAGACGTGGCCCAGGGAGCAGGCAGGGGCTGTGCAGGGCCCCAGGATGGGGACCGGAAGCTCGGGGCTGCCGTGGAGGGTGGCGGGAGGCATCGGAGGGCAGTAAGTAGGGGTGACGTGGTCCCCCAGCTGCTGTGTGTGTGAGGATTCCTGGGGCAGATGGACGCAGGCCGGGGGCTGTAGCCGTCTCGCCGGGGTGATCCCATCGGGGCAGGCAGAGGGATGGTGGGGAGCGCGCGTGCCTGGGCCAGGCGGTGCGGGGGAGCTGAGTGAGCCGTGTCCCGCAGAAGTGGCCGTGCGTGGGGAGGGCGTGCTGGGCCAGGCGGTGCGGGGGAGCTGAGTGAGCTGTGTCCTGCAGAAGTGGCCGTGCGTGGGGAGGGCGTGCTGGGCCAGGTGGTGCGGGGGAGCTGAGTGAGCTGTGTCCTGCAGAAGTGGCCGTGCGTGGGGAGGGCGTGCTGGGCCAGGCGGTGCGGGGGAGCTGAGTGAGCTGTGTCCTGCAGAAGTGGCCGTGCGTGGGGAGGGCACGCGCCTGGGCCAGGTGGTGCGGGGGAGCTGAGCGAGCCGTGTCCCGCAGAAGTGGCCGTGCGTGGGGAGGGCGTGCTGGGCCAGGCGGTGCGGGGGAGCTGAGCGAGCCGTGTCCCGCAGAAGTGGCCGTGCGTGGGGAGGGCGTGCTGGGCCAGGCGGTGCGGGGGAGCTGAGCGAGCCGTGTCCCGCAGAAGTGGCAGTGCGTGGGGAGGGCACGTGCCTGGGCCAGGCGGTGCGGGGGAGCTGAGCGAGCCGTGTCCCGCAGAAGTGGCCGTGCGTGGGGAGGGCGTGCTGGGCCAGGCGGTGCGGGGGAGCTGAGCGAGCCGTGTCCCGCAGAAGTGGCAGTGCGTGGAGGACGCCACGGGGAAGCTGAAGCTGCACAAATGCAAGGGCCCGGTGCGGTCCGGCGGCGGGGGCGGCGGGGGCGGCGGGGCCGTCTCCAACCTCGTGCCCAAGTACTACGCGCGGGGCGGCGAGGCCTGCACCTGCGACGGCGCCCGCGACTACAAGCTCAGCCTGGCCGGCCGCCGCAGAAGGCTCTTCAAGAAGAGTAAGTGTGGCGGCCCTGGTGGCGGGGGGGGGGGGGGGGGGGTGGTGACCCGAGGCTGCCCCGGGGCACGCAGCGTCCTAGGAGCTGGGGACGCAGCCAGACCCCTCGCCAGCCGCCCAGTGGAAAGGACACAGGGGCCTCGGGTGGCGTGGGGCGCGGGAGGAGCAGCGGGGTCACCTGTGCAGGGGGAGCGTGGTGGGCGTTCAGCTCAAGGCGAGGGTCAGGGCTGGCGCCGCGGCTCACTAGGCTAATCCTCCACCTAGCGGCGCCGGCACCCCGGGTTCTAGTCCCGGTCGGGGCGCCGGATTCTGTCCCGGTGACCCCTCTTCCAGGCCAGCTCTCTGCTGTGGCCAGGGAGTGCAGTGGAGGATGGCCCAAGTCCTTGGGCCCTGCACCCCATGGGAGACCAGAAGCACCTGGCTCCTGCCATCAGATCAACGTGGTGCACCAGCCGCAGTGCGCCAGCCGTAGCGGCCATTGGAGGGTGAACCAACGGCAAAGGAAGACCTTTCTCTCTGTCTCTCTCACTGTCCACTCTGCCTGTCAAAAAAAAACAAAGACGAGGGTCAGGTGTGTGTGTTCAGAGCGGAGGCTGGCGGGGACCAGGGCGCAGGCAGGAGGTGAGTGGGGAGGAGCCGCGTGTTGCGGGCGTGGCCGTGAGGTGGAGGAGGTGGTCGGGCTCTGGGTGAGACTTGAAGCGGAGCTGGCAGTGTGTGCGGCTGTGGCCCGTATGTTCCCACGTATGTTCCCAGGACTCCGAGTCTGCAAAGCCAGCGACTGCCCAAGTTCACACGCAGCTCCACGCTGCACACTCAGCCCTTTGCTCTGCCCTCAATTGCTCTGCACACGTTCCCAGCTGAAGTCAAAACAGGAAACCCTGCTGGTTCCGGGGGAGTGAGAGGTCTTCTGTCCGCTGGCCACAATGGCCAGAGCTGCGCCCATCGGAAGCCAGGAGCTTCTTCCAGGTCTCCCATGTGGGTGCAGGGGCCCAAGGACTTGAGCCATTTTCTACTGCTTTCCCAGGAGCAGCCAGGTCTCAAACTGGCGCCACAGGCAGATTCTTAACCTGCTACACCCCAGCCCCGGCAGCAGCCCTGTGAGTAGGGCAGGAGCCACCTGTGAGGAACCCCATCCAGGGACTACGCCCAAGATGCTCCCTGTCTGCTCAGCCCAGCGGGGGAGCCCACCCCGGGGTGCTTGGCAGCGTCACAGTTGTGTATGACAGGGGTGCTGCCGGGTCACATGAGGCACAGGACAGCCCCTGGCATCAGCAGTGCAGGGTCAAGGGGCCCTAGAGGGCAGCCTCTCACGCCCTGGCCGCCATGACACCCTGGGGCCCTGCAGCGGTGTGGGGAAGCCAGGCGGCCTGGGACAGAGGCTGTGCGCACCCTGGGGAAGCCAGGCGGCCTGGGACAGAGGCTGTGCGCACCCTGGGGAAGCCAGGCGGCCTGGGACAGAGGCCATGTGCACCGTGGGGAAGCCAGGCGGCCTGGGACAGAGGCCGTGCACACCCTGGGGAAGCCAGGCGGCCCCGGACAGAGGCCGTGCACACTGTGGGGGTTCATGGTCTTTATTCTCCCAACACCTCCTGGAGCCCTACTGTGTGCCAGATGCCAAGCCCCCCCAAGGTGAATGAGACAGACGCTGACCTGGGCTCATGGACGAGACAGATGGAGGCAAGTTGCCAGCAGGTGTCACTTCCTGCAGGACACGCAGATGGTCACAGACACACAGGCAGTCACCTTGGGCGAGGATGTCCCGACTGCCAAGTCCCCGACCCCGGCAGCACTGGCTGCCGCCGGCTCCTCCACCCAGCACTGAGCAGTCGCCCATTTGTCTCAGGCCTGAGCCCTGTCACACGGGAACACAGCCATCGGAACTGACCCCGACTGCCCGCGCTCACACGGGTCAGGCTTCGCACCCAGTCCGCTGGCCGCTGGGCTGTGAGTCCTGTCCCCTCTGCGCCCCATCTGTGCGGCAGGAAGGGGCTTCCGGGAGCTGGGAAACCCTTTGGGGGGGCACGATGGACAGAGCCAGGATCATGGCTGTGGGCCAGGCAAGGGGCATGGTGGGGCGGGCAGAGCTCCGTCCAGGGCCTGAGGAGGTCGCGGCTATGTGGGCGGGGGGCTTTGTCTCCACTGTGCCACGGGTTCCTCGGGAACCGTGTCTGCCCACACAGGTGGCAGCCGTCGGCTGGGGACCCCTGGGGGTCGGCAGGGTGGGAAGAGGTGAAGCGGCCAATCCCTGCACCGAGTGAGAGCAGAGGAGCCGGAGGAGCACAGGAGAGGGGGCCGAGGAGAAGGCTGGGCCCTGGAGGCCCTGTGCCCTGGAGGCTGGGCACCTGCCCCTAGAGCCTGACTCGCCTGGGCGAGGGTGCACCTCTGCAGGCCCCAGGCCGTCCTCCTCGGTTGCCCTCTAGTGGTCATCTGGGACCCAGCAGAAGCCTGGGCCGGTAACTGGCGGCCGCCCCCCGAGGGGTATGGGCTTCAACGGGAAGGTGGCAGAGGTGTACAGCAGGGAGGAGGGGCAGACCCAGCCCCTGTGCAGGCCTCTGCCTGTCCGGACCCTGCACGGCCCTGGGCCTCTGGACGGCTGCCCCGTTCTCAGGAGCTGCAGGGGCCTACGTGACCAGCCCTACCACCACCCCTTTAAAAAATCCAGCGACTTGATCAAATATTTTTTTAAGAGATTTCCTTATTTATTTGAAAGGCAGAGTTAGAGAGAGAGAGAGAGAGAGAGAGAGGTCTTCCACCTGCTGGCTCACTCCCCAAATGCCCGTGAGAGCCAGAGGGGCAGATCTGGGAGCCGGGAGCCAGGTCAGGTCTCCCTGTGGGTAGCAGGGGCCCAACCTCTTGAGCCACCAGCAGCTGCCCCCACGGTGCACATTAGCAGGAAACTGGACCTTGGATTTGAACCCAGGCCCTCGGACATGAGATGCGGGCACCCTAACTGCTGGGCCAACACACACAGGATCACGCCCTAGCTGGTCCTCAAGTCTCAGATGACCCTGAGCCTGTGGCTGAGGGCCTTCCTGGGGAGACCAGCCCCCCCAACCTGGCTCCCCCTCTACCCCCCCAGAGTACAAGGCCAGCTACGTACGCAGTCGCTCCATCCGCTCCGTGCCCGTCATCGTGGGCGGTAAGGTGTACCACCTGGGCCCCGCGAGCGCCTCCCAGCCCCGCAACCTCACCAAGAGGCACTGGCCAGGGGCCCCCGAGGAGCAAGATGACAAGGACGCTGGGGACTTCAGTGGCACTGGAGGCCTCCCAGACTTCTCAGCCCCCAACCCCATTAAAGTGACACATCGGTGAGTGTCCAGGCAGAGGCCGGGGGCGAGGGGGCACAGCGGATACTGGCACAGGCTACCCACACCTCTTGGGCCCCTGGACACCACACGTGTCCCCTCTCTCGAGCAGGTGCTACATCCTAGAGAACGACACAGTCCAGTGTGACCTGGACCTGTACAGGTCCCTGCAGGCGTGGAAAGACCACAAGCTGCACATTGACCACGAGGTGAGCGAGGCGGGGTGGGGAGACCCCTACAGAACCCTCAACCCGAGGGCGGCCCGAGTGCCAGCGCCCCGGCAGCCTGGCGAGATGTCTGTGCTGTGGCTTGCCTTTGCGTAAGCCTGGCGGGGGCAGTGGAAGCCTCGGTGGGCCAGGAAGAACAGCCCCGTTCCTTCGCCGGAGCCTGGCTGGAGGGGAGGGGGCTTCGTTCGGCAGGAGCAGCCACGGCGGTGGCCTTGGCGCCCACGATGGCAGGTGCACCCCAGGGCTGGGGAACGCAGGCTGCTGCTGCCACTGCGGGGCCAGGAGCCAGCACGGGGCTGTGCCTGCCTGGCAGGGTTCTAAGGCCACCCCTCCCCCCCCCAGATCGAAACCCTGCAGAATAAGATTAAGAACCTCCGGGAGGTCCGAGGCCACCTGAAGAAGAAGCGGCCGGAGGAATGCGACTGCCAGAAACCCAGGTGAGGGGTCGCAGGGCCCCTGCGCGCCCTGGCTGTCCCACAGGACCGCCCCTGGGGACACGGCGCCCCCTGGTGGTATTTTTCCGCCCAGTCTTCTCCACTCAGGGTAACAGCCCTTAGCCAGCTGGGCCCACAGGACCGCCCCCAGGCAGCCAGGCCAGCGCCTGGATTGCCGCAGCGCCCACGGGAGACGGGTGTGGGCTGTGTAGCCGGCTCCCAGCGCCTGCCCCGACCGCCCTTTCGGAAACTGCCCACAGGACTCCGGGGTCCCCAAAGGACTCAACTCCAGAGCGGCTCTGCCCGCAGAACCTGAGTCGTTGGGACTGGGCTGCTTCTGTGTTGGGGGGGGCGGTTTGCAAGAAGTCTCTGTTCTCCCACACTGGCGTGGCCACGTGTGGCCGTGGCTCCTGGACTGCACAGCATAACCGCAGCCCCAGAAAAGCCTGTGCAACCCAGTTTCACCCTTGGCACGCATGGGGTGGGTGGGTGGAGGGGACGCCCCTGAGCCACACCTGCCCTGGCCTGAGGTCTTCTACCAGGGCCACCTGGGCTTGAACTTGGCAGAGGCGGCTGTCCTGGGGAGTGTGGCACCCCCACACACACTGCCAACGGGGGGAGAGGGGAGGGGAGAGAGGCAGGGGGTGGGACCGGGTGGGGCAGCAGCCTAGGGGCCCCAGGAGCCACACTGGCCTGCAGGGGCTGAGGCCTGGGCTGGGGTCTGTTCCAGCTTCCACAGCCAGCACAGTGGCCGCCTCAAGCACAAGGGCTCCAGCCTGCACCCTTTCAGGTGAGAGCCGCCAGGAGACACTGCTGCCCTCCCTGAGCCAGACACAGAGGAGCCAGGCCCCGGCTTTTCCTTGAAGTCTCACTCTGCTGTGGACAGACCTCGGGCCGGTCTTGGGCGCCCCCTTGTGGCAAGGTGCTGGAGCAGCACCGCACCAGTCTCAGGAAGGGAGGGGATGGGCGAGAGCAGGGTCCCGGGAGCCCCCCACGCCTCCCCTCGGGGGCTAAGGCAGGCCACGGGCACCCAGGAGAGCCAGCTGGGCCTTGAGCAGCAGTGAGCGGCCCTCGGGGAGCGCGGGCCTGCCGCGGCCTCACCGGGGCCCCCGCGTGCCGCAGGAAGGGCCTGCCGGAGGACAAGGTGTGGCTGCTGCGGGAGCAGAAGCGGAAGAAGAAGCTGCGCAAGCTGCTGAAGCGGCTGCAGAACAACGACACGTGCAGCATGCCCGGCCTCACGTGCTTCACGCACGACAACCAGCACTGGCAGACGGCCCCGCTCTGGACGCGTGAGCACGGGCCCCGCCCCGGCGTGGGAGGGCCTTAGCGGACCCCGTAGGTCTCTCGGAGGCCGCTGCCCCGGGCCGCTCCTGGCGGCCGTGGGCGGGCAGCCAGGCTCTTCTGTTCCCCTCGGCAGTGGGGCCCTTCTGTGCCTGCACCAGCGCCAACAACAACACGTACTGGTGCATGAGGACGATCAACGAGACCCACAACTTCCTCTTCTGCGAATTCGCCACCGGCTTCCTCGAGTACTTTGACCTCAACACGGACCCCTACCAGGTGCGCACAGCCCCGGCTGAACGTAACCAGAGGGTGGGGAACGCGGGCAGCACCGGGCAGGGCCCCCACCCTGCTCAGCGACGGCAGACTCTCCCGACCCACTGGGTCCCCGAGGCGAGAAGAGTGAGTGAGGAAGCCACCGAGAATTCCAGGAGTAAGCCATCAAGGCAGGACGGAAGTGGCCCGGGTCCATGGTGCACCTGCTAGCGGGGAGTGAGGAGCGTGTAGGAGGGGCAGTTACTATGAGTTCCAGCTGTTCTGTTGTGTGGCCTTGGAACTGTCCAGGCTTCAACTTGTAAAGAAAAGCCCGACATTTTAAAACAGATTGATTTATGTATTTGAAGGCAGAATGTTGGGGCTGGCGCTGTAGCATAGCAGGTAAGGCTGCCGCCTGCAGTGCCGGCATCCCATATGGGCGCCAGTTCAAGTCCCAGCTGCTCCACTTCCCATCCAGCTCTCTGCTATGGCCTGGGAAAGCAGTAGAGGGTGGCCCAAGTCCTTGGGCCCCTGCACCTGCGTGGGAGACCTGGAAGAAGCTCCTGGCTCCTGGCTTCAGATCAGCGTAGCTCCAACTGTTGCGGTCAATTAGGGAGTGAACTAGCAGATGGAAGACCTCTCTCTCTCTCTTCCTCTCCTCCTCTCTCTGTGTAACTCTTTCAAATAAATAAATAATAAAGGCAGAATGTCAAGAGCTGGAGAGAGAAGACATCTTCCATCTGCTAGTTCACTTCCCACATGGCTCCAGCAGCCAGGTCCAGGTCTCCCTCATGGGCAGCAGGGGCCCAATCCCTTGTGTCGTCATCCGTTGCCTTCCCAGGCACGTTGGCAGGGAGCAGCCAGGAATGGGACCAGCACGAGGGGCAGCTTAAGCTGCTGTGTGCCACGCCAGCCTGAGAACTGTTCTCCGGGAAATGTGCTTTTTAATGTCAGGGTCTCCGTGCTTTGGGTGCCACACACCTGCCTGCCTTGTGTACGCGGGGTCACCCTGTCCTACCAAAAGGGGTGGCAGATGAGGTAGGCCTGTCGCTCGCCCGGCGCTCCCAGCCTGGGCAAGGCCCGGGCCGCTCACCGGTCCTTTCGCCCAACGGCTGCTCTCCGCTCCCGAGGAGCAGAGGACTGTGGGGAAAGGCTGCGGACAGCCGAGGCTCGGGAGGGCGCCTTTCCAAGCTTCGGAAGTTTCCTGGCCAGTGCCCTGAAGTTCCACATGAAGTCACAGATGGGGCTTGTCTGGTTTTGAAGAGATTCATTTATTCATTCATTCGAAAGGCAGAGTTAGGTCTTCCGTTCACCGTTTCACTCCCCAAGTGGCTGCAATGCTGGGGCCGGGGCAGGCTGAAGCCCCATCCAGGTCTCCCGCGTGGGTGGCAGGGGCCAGCACTCGGGCCCTCTGCGGCCGCCTTCCCAGGCGCATTAGCAGGAGCCGGATGGGAAGCGGAGCAGTGCTTGGGGCACGCCGGCGTCACAGGGAGGCTTGACCTGCTGGTGCTGTGCCAGGAATTGCCGCCCCCAAGGAGAGGACCGGGTGGCTCTAGAGGCCGAGATGTCACCTTCCCCCAGCCCGCCAGGAGCCCTGCTGCGGGGGGTGGGGGGGGGTCCCTGCACTCATTTTGTTGACCGCCGACCTCTTCCCTATCAGCTGATGAACGCGGTGAACACCCTGGACAGGGACGTCCTCAACCAGCTCCACGTGCAGCTCATGGAGCTGAGGAGCTGCAAGGGGCACAAGCAGTGCAACCCCCGGACTCGGAACATGGACCTGGGTGAGTGGGGGCCCCGGGGAGGCGGGCCGAGGCCCCTGGGTGAGGGAGGCCCCCGCCCGGGGCACGCAGCGGAGTTGGCCTCCCGAGACGCTGGCTGGGGACGCCTCCATGAGAAACCCGGACCCCCCGCTCCGCTCCTCCTCTTCCTGTGGTCCGGTCGCCTACTCAGTCAACCAGGAGGCACTGCCGCGCGAGCCCGGCACACACTGGCTACGGGGAGCAGAGCGGCGCCCGCACTCCCGGGACTCGCGTGGAGCGCATGTCCACCGGGACACTTCAGCCTCCCTGGGACCGGAGTGATGTCGGGAGGGCGTGGGGGGGGGGGCCTCCAGGAAGTGACGGCCGAGCCCAGTTCTGAAGAGCAGGCAGCAGCCGCCTCCAGAGAAACGCGGGGTCTGGCGTCCCGGGGCGTCAGAGTGTGAGGGGGTGGGGCCGGCTCAGGGGAGGGGGCGTCCTGGAGGCTGCATTCAGGTCCATCAGGAAGCCAGGGCGGGTCTGGGCCCAGGCCCGGGGTCAGGACTGTAGGGAGGACACAGTGACGGGGGCACCGCCGCCCCGGGAGCTGGGAGGCACGGTTGACGCCTGGGTTTTAGGAGACAGAGTCTAGGATGCCGACTGGGTATTTTCAGCGCACAAACAAAGCAGGAAGTTGTTCTTACCAGCCTCAGCGAAGCACAGAGGGCGGTCTGGGGACTCCTCCCCGTCCAGGCCGCTCAGGAGAGGCCCGTTGTGATCAGAGGCACGAATTCATCGCTACCCCAGTGCTGAGCGCTGTGTGTGCCGTCGCGGGGGAGCCCCACGGCAGCCCTCTGAGATCACCGTGACCTTCACTTAGTGGACAAGGACAGTGAACCGGCTGGCAGACTCCAAAGCCTGGGCACTTGACCCCCCACAGTCCTCAGGAAGCCTTCCCGAGGGTCCAGACCCGGGGGTCTCCCGCTGCCTGCCACGCTCTGTAGCACAGGTGTTTGTGCCAGTGTGGCTGCCCTGCCGGGACAGAGGTCTGTGCCGAGTGAGGGGCTCAGGGGCCTGGACCTGACCCAGCCACACTGGCCCACGGGCGATCTACGGGGAGGCCTCGCAGTCCCACCACTGCCCTCTGAACGGGGCCGCCGCTTTCTGGGGTGGGGGTTTCGTTTACTGAACGGTTATGGTTTGTCCTCCTTATACCACTTCTGCCCTAAACTCTGTTCCTATTTTGTTCATTTGTCCCACATTTAGGACTCAAAGATGGCGGCAGCTATGAACAGTACAGGTACTCAGTTTTGTCATTCACGCCCCAGGGAGGCCCCGCCCTCAGTGTGTCCTGGAGGGGCCCCACCGGGGATGGGGGGGTCACTGAGATACCTTCTCTGTGTGGTTCTTTGGGGATGACTTTCTCGGTAGTGCTTAACGTTCATTTTCCTTCTGACACTTGAAACGCAGGCAGTTCCAGCGTCGCAAGTGGCCGGAGATGAAGAGGCCGTCCTCCAAGTCGCTGTGAGTCCAGGGGCTGCTTCAGGCAGGGCTGGGGGCTGCCTGGCTTCGCTCTGCCAAGGCCTTCCTGGGTGCAGGCCGCTTCCCGTTACCAGTGCTGTGCCCACACCGAGGGGAGCAGTGAGCCGGCCTGGAAGATAACACACGTGAACTACATCCCGTGTTTTCAGTGACCACTGCCGCTGAACTTGAGCTGTCACGTAAGAGGTGGAGAAGATTTTCAGAATTACAGCGGCCAACATCTTGGGAGGCTGTGGCTGGTCCACATCCTTAGCACTATGGCAACCTCATTAAAGGCTCCCAAGAGGCCGGACCGACACACCCACTGCAGTGCCACTAGCGGCCAGCAGGGGCTCCGTGGCCACCAAGGTCACCTGGTCACCTCTGATCCCCAGCAGCTGGCTGGGTCCCGGCAGGAAGGAGGTACAACTCACCAGACCTCCTAAAATCACTGAGAAAGTTAAAAATGCAGGTAGGAGAGAGAGTTTATTAGCATTGGCAACAAAGCTGACATAGCCGTGTGGGTGAGCTGTCACGTGGGACCGCTGGCTGTGCATCTGTAGCCACGTGGCTTTCCCAGGCGTTGCTGTGGTGCCTCGCTCACGTTTCCGTCCCTCGGCCCTTGTTCTGCCCAGATCTTAACCACCGCCTCTGCCAGCCCGAGCGTGCCTTCCCAGGGCCCTAGAACCAGATGCCAGCAGCCGCTTCCTTGGCTGTGGGACCGAGCCTCGTCCCGCTAAGAGGAGCATGTTTTGTTCCACAGGGGGCAGCTGTGGGAAGGCTGGGAAGGCTAAGACGCAACGGCGATGGACCTGCGAAACCCAGAGGCCCCGCCTGAGTGCCCGGTGGGCAGAGGCCGTGCGCGACTTCCAGGAGCCTGTGCTGTGGGCCGGGCAGCCCGAGAAACAGCCTGCTTTCGGGGACCGCGGCGACCTCCGGAGGATGAGCGGCGGGAGCAGAGCTTCAGGAAGCCCACCTGCGCCCCTGCTTCTGCCTCGCCAGCCGCACAGGATGCGTCTCGGATCAGAAGTCACCACTAACCCTCGAGAGGCTCGCGAGGGGAACAGAGATTTTCTTGGAAATTTCCCCCAAGGGTGAAAGTCACTGGAATTTTTTTTTTTTTTAATCATAGGGGGAAAACGACTCTGTTTTAAATCCTCGTATTCTTTTGATTCATCACAAAGAAGGAACTGAGAAACCGGCAGGGGCAGCTGGCAGATGCTGCGACAGCACACAGTGAGACCGTGAGTCAGTGGCACAAGACAGGCGACACGGACCTAGCACGATCGTCCTGGCCGGCTGCCTTCCCTGTACATACGTGACTCTCGCCCTGTAACCCACACGGGACCGTTCGGGGACTGACCCGCAGAACCCCCCGTGTTCAAGAGTGGCGCGCCAATAAACGCCCTGTGGCCAGTGTCAAAGAAACCCTCGTCGTTGTGGCCGTTCGTTGCTGCCCACACCCCGTCCCCCGCCCCGTCACCCATCCCCGAACTGTGTTTTCAGGTACTGAAAAGCAATGAAGTATGTATGTCCCACATTTTAGAGATCGTTTTGTAAAGAATTTTTGTAGCTGAGTATTGTCATACAATGTTCAAAGCCCCGGCTGATGACCAGCAGTTATAAGAAACACTTGTTTTGTTAATTCTCAGGAGTTTTCTGCTGTGTTTGTTAAAGAATCCAAGCTACAACAGTGAGCGCCTGGTTTGCAAGGAGATGCGGTAGGTTTACAGAACTTTTAAGGGGGAGCAGGTGGTTGCAAATCAATGACTAAAAGGTAGCAGACGGCAGGCAGCCTCACAGGGCGCCTCACGTTACTCCAGCTGCCAGCAGTTCGCCCCCTTAGCCAACCTGTGTATGTGGCAGGCGGCAGCCAGCACCCGCTGACGGCGCTCCACAACGGACAGAGAGGATCCCAGGTCCTCCTGTTCTGGAAAACGGTTCCCTCTCTGCCTTGCGGCGCCACAGACGGCCCAGGCTTCCTGCAGAAGCTGGGGGTGGGGTGTGCGTGAACCCCATCGACCCATTCACTCTACAAATGGCCAAGGCTGGGCATGGCTCAAAGGCTCCCTGGTTTTTGTTTTAACTTTAGAAGTTGCTACCATTATCTTAAATAGGCCTCCCTAACCTTCTCTTTTACCCTCAATCCAACTGGGATTTAAAAAAAAAAAGGCAAAAAGCTCTTAGGCTCCAACTTTACGTAGAAACCTTTATTTACAGCGACATCTAAAACAGCCAGCAAAGCAGTCCCAGTTCACCACCCACCCCATGTCGTCAGTCATCTCTTGTGGTTTCGAATCTCTGTAGGGTAAAAGAACAATTTTTTAAAGCAGTGCTTAATGTAAACTTGATTGAAACTGAATTCATTCTTGGTACTTAATTCCTGAGAATTTGAATATTGCTCTCAGACTGACGTTAGCTTCTTTGAACTTCCACACACTGGAGAGAGACGGGGAGGAGAGCGAGAACACCATGCTCACTACCGCACAGTTTGCCTTGCAGCTGAGAACAACTCGGGTCCCTCTGCAGCAGGCGTGAAGTTGCAGCCACCCTGGAGGGAGCGCTCCCGAGAACGTCCTACTGGGAACACACCCCTCCGCACGGGGCACGAGCCACCCAGTCTGGCTTTTGCCCAGCTGCACCTGCCCCGGGGGCAGAGCGCGTCTAGGGCACCCGCACCCTCCCGACTCGCCGCACACGGGTAGCTACACCTTGTCATCCAGATGCAATTAAAAAGTGGCCTTAACGTGAATATTAACAATGCAACTTCTGTTTTTTAAAGGAAGAAACATGTATCCTTTATATTGTTTTGATCTTCATAAAATATATTTATTTATATATCTTTGGATTCAGCAAAAAAGTAGGTACTGGAAATATCCCACATTCTAAAAGCAGAAGAAAAGATGACGGATTCTGGTCACCCAAGAGATACCTAGGTTTAAAAGGGGGTGGTGCAGGGGTGGGGGTGAGGAGAGGTAGCAGCAGAGCACAAAATCCTCCAAGACAGGTCAAAGGGTGAGAAAGGCAAAAGCAAATTCTCTGAGACAGCGTCGATTAAAAGCAAATCAAAAATCTCAAGTTTGCACCATTTTTGTAAAACAGGTAGAAAACACAAAGACTTATAATAAATGTAATTCCCCCCCATAGAAAAGTGAGCACTAGCGCCTTCCCGTGAGCCTGGAGCCAGGACTGGGGAGGAGACAGGACGTGGTCTCTGTTGCTGCGTCCTGGAAGTGAGGGAGGAGGAGCACCCGTCCATCCCCCTCGACACCGACACCGCCAGGCCGGCGACCGGGCTCTGCCTCAGCTCTGCCTTCCCCGGACGGGAGAAGGTGTCGTCTGCCAAGTACGATGCTTGACTGTGTAATCGAGGGGGAAGAAACTCACGATGCTTATACATTGTTGGGAAAATAAAGTCCCCACCCCACCCCCACCCCCAGTGGTAGCTCTGGGAACATCAGGGCTCACGTCCTCATGCCAGAGAAATTGAATGACCACACCTTCAGAGAGGCATCTACAAAGTTGGCTGAAGGTGTTAAAACATTTTTTAAATTTACCTGCCTCGATTATTGCTAGAAAATGATGCCAAGGCTGGCAGAGAGATCTGAAATTCACAGATACTCCAAAAACCAGATTTCATTCAACTGTTGGAACCTAATAAAGTAACCCTGATAAAAGGAATTAAACTTGATTTCCCCCCTACTCCCAATTACCTAGAACAGGTGTCAAGGAGAGGCAGCCTCAGGAAAGAGAGGAGACTGAAGAGGGGGTGGGCAGGGACGCTCAGTGGGACTGTGGCTCTGAACCCCAGCAACGCTGTTCTGGACACGGCGCTTAGGAAGTCACCCTGACTGTTCTAACCCAGAGGCGTGCAGTTGCCAGCGGTGTGAGCAGAATGGCAAGGCAGCGGAGCAGACACCAGGAAGCGCGCCAGGCTTGCACTCCTGCGACCTCAATGTGGGATGCAGATCCTAGCAACCAAAGTCTTAGTGCACTCCTAGAATGGATGAAAAGACAATTAAAAATAATAATCGCTACTGGTATAGACTGCTTAAAATCCAAGAGATTCCTTTTAAGTCAAATTGCTTGTTTTTAATTCCTGACTTTAAGTGTTTATTTCCCCATATCCATTCTTTCCCAAAATTAACAAAAGTGCTTAGTTCTGGTAGAGGAATTTAAAATGTAAATGCCTACATCTAAACAAATGATCTCTTAAAAAGCATTGAGATTGGGAGATTGAAAAGGGTGAGGCGGCAAAGGCTGGCGGAGGACAGGCTGCCTTCACCTCCCCCCGGCCCCCCGCTGCACAACTTGGGGGGGGGGTGGCCCGTGTGCCAGCAGCCACGCCACACTGAGCTTACAGAAATCAACAATGTTAAATATTTCGCTTCACAAACTTTGTAAAAATGAGTTGTGATCTACAAAAAAAGGTATATACATATTTTACATAATACAATATCTTAAAGGTCATATTTACAAAAAAAATATTCACAGAAACACTGTGAAATTCTGATTCAGAATGCAGTACCTGGCCTTGAGTTTTCAGAGTTTATTTTCAAAAAGCATTATTGCTCTACCATATAGGCAAAGGGTGACACTAATATTCTTTAAAAAATCATAGTTCTTGTCCAAGAGATTAGACAAAAACCAGGAATGTGGTTCATTCCTCAAGACCGCAAGAATATTGCATTTATCCATTACTTTCTAAATAAAGTGCACGCGGCTGCACATGAGCATGTGAACACTTTGCTACTGCTGCAATTAAATACTGTCATCTCATCTTCCCTTCTGAAAGCCATCTAGCATCGGTGACAGGTCCCCGAGGTGAAGGTTACAGAACATGGGGGCAGATCAGTCTTGAGGAGAAAGCCCAGGACACAGACAAGGGACAGAGTCGCTCCACGCCAGCCAGGGGCAGGGCAGGAGAGGCCAATTCCAAAGGAACCACTTGGAGACGAAACAGGACGCGGGGAACTGTGCTCTTTGTCCAGCACTGCAGAGAGAAGCCACATGTTCTCCTCTGCCTCTCCAATGTTGTCTGGCCCACCTATTTGAGAGACTTTGGCTATCAAGGCAGAAAGAAGTGGCACTCCATGTCTCCAGGATTACATCCCTCGGAGGCAGACCGTCAGGTGCACAGGGTGGGGAGTACAGGGAGGTGCTGCGCTTCAGCTTCAATCCAGTCCTGCTCACACGGCATCACTTGGAACTCCCTTGACGGGGCTCACGCCGGCCCCTTCTTCAAGTCGGCCCGCGCAGAACGAGTCTTCCCTCCCGACAGTCCACGTGCAGTGTCATCTGTATACTGATCTCCTTAGAGGGCCTGGTATCGAGACGTCAGCAGTACTTCTGTTAACAACCAGAAAGAACGGGAATAAAACGGGCGCTCAGCACAACAGAAGACAAATCCCAGTGTCGACAGTGATGGCCTGCAACGTGGCCTGGCGGGCTCCGACCCCCGAGGTCCCCAGTGCCAAAGTGTTCTCAATTGCTGTACTTCAAGTGACGTGAGGACATCCGAGTGAAATCCTACACGGGACCTTTAGATTACAGGGGAGGGAGGCAGTGGTTCTCTCCAGAAAACAGGAACTTTCTGGAAAAGGAGCAGATGTCCTTACCTGGTCAGGACCCAGGGGCATGCCGGCCATGGGCACGGGGCCCATGCTCATCTGTCCCAAGTGGCCAGCGCTGCCGTTCATGTGCACCATCCCGAACGCTGCAGGGCTCGCCTGGTGCGCGAACTGCTGCGGGGCAAAGGAGCTGCGGGGAGAGTGCGGCATTAGCTCGGGAGTCACTCAGCGGCTCGGGCACAGGGCGAGACCATCACCACGTTAGGACCACTAGGTAGGAGATACTGGGAGAGGATCCTGCCCACAGTGTTCTTCCACTTACGCTGCCTGTACTCGGGGCCCCACTGGGCTTGTGTGCCATATGACAGGTTCTTAAAACGGACACCACCGACACCATCTAATAGCCCAGGCCGTCTGAGCGCCCCACCCAGGCGTGGCTGAAAGCGCAGAGACGTCCACTCCCTGGCCTGCGGCACTGGGATGTGAAGGCTCCTGGAGTCGCTGGTCTTTACCTGCTCCTGGCCAGGCCTCCTGACGGCCAGCCCTTCATCTCTGAGGACTGATACATGGGTGCAGTCTGAGGGTGCTGCAGCATGGGGTTCTGGGAAGGACCCATCCTCGATGACATCATTGCATTAGGAGGACTAGACACTCTTCCAAAGGTTGGGTCTGGCTGCTGTCCCATTCCTTAAAAGAAAACAGGAAAAACTTAAGTGCTCATGCATCACTTTCTCATCCTCTCAGAAGGGGACGGGAACAGGCGCCGACAGTGCACAGGGTGTCGCCTCCCACCTATTCCTGCTCTGGACCGAGGTGACAACCACAGTGATGGGCTCACCACAACAGAAAGGCTCCCCGTCTAGGGCACACGAGGCCCACCGTTTCCATGGTGATTCTGTGCCCAGGGACTCACTCTAGTCGCACCACTGCCCCTCTCATCCCGAGATGGCTGCACCCAGAAACGTAAGCTGTGACCCCTGGCGTCCCACAGCCTCTCAAAGCAGGCCAGCAGAGAAATCGGCATCACCGTAAGACGCCCGTGCGGTGGGAGCTCGGAAGCCCCCATGGTCCATTCCTGCCTCCGGCACCACCGAGTTCCCACCCTGGGGCACAGAGGCAGCAGTGAGACAGGGCGAGACGTCTGCTTCTCAGGTGTGCCGATCCAGTGACGCTCGCGTCTTCCACAACGTCACTCAGGAAAGCACACCCTCCCCGCCCACTTTACCGTAATTTGGTGGATAAGGAAACTGCTGTGGTGGCGCCTGTGGCATCGCAGGTCCTGCCAAGACCCCATCCATGCTGGGGGAGGCGGTCACATTAGGGGGCGGGCTGAAGGCTCGGGTCTGCTGCTGCTGCTGCTGCTGCATCAACATGGCCGCCCTCTGCTGCCGGAAGTGATGACTCAGCAGCTCTCTGCTGCGCTGGGCAACCATCTGGGCATTCAGAAAGCCCTGCTAACGCCCAAGGAGAAGCGTGGTCACGTATGCATAGCACAATCCAGCCAGTGCCCCACGCGTGGGACCCCCACACCACGTCGGGGGCAGAGAGGAAACCACCCAGTGTCTACGCACTAGTCCTGGCGATAAAAGCTTTTAGGCTGTTGGGGGGGGGGGGGGACCTGGAGGTTATTTGTAGCTAGGAAACACGGGGAGACAAGTTGTCACGCTTTTGATGTAGCTAGAAGCACTTCTCACAGTGACAGAACAGTTAGCATAAAATCTGAAGACAGACTCTTCAGAACCCCAGAAAAAAAAAACTTTTTTTTTTAGAGGCCAAGCCTAAAAATTTTTTTTTTTTTTTAAAAGAAAAAAACCAAGGCCCCCGGGGGGGGGGGGGGGGGCACAGGGCTGTCTCCTGAGGACCCGCCCCAGCTCATGCGCTCTCTTCTAAACCTTCTAACAGAGGCAGGGAAGACCCTGAAGCTGTCTCAACTCTTCCACTGGAGAGCATCATTTCCAAAAAACACACTTGTATCATCCTTTCAGAGGACACCTAACAGCTTATACAGGGTGTCTGATTATCAAGAAAATAGAGAGGCTCTTCTAAGTGGGCATAGACGTGAAAATCAAGCATTTCACAGGTTAAAAAAAAAAAAAAAAAACCTTGGTTTCCCACCCTAGTAGGTGACTGTCATGTAGTCATCTGCCTCATTCACATTAAGAAAACACCTGGACACCCTTCCTTTCCACCACTGGCTGCAGACACAGAGTTTAACATTCCCTGCCGTGATGGGAAACAGGTCATCCCAGACTCATTGAGAATGGAATTATGTATCATTTTCTTTTTCTTTTTTTTTTTTTTTTCAGAAAGCTTTTATTGAATGAATGCAGATTTCACAGGTGCAGCTTTAGGAACCCCCCCCCCCAATACCTGCCCTCCCACTCTCACTCCCGTCCCACCTCCTACTCCCTCTCCCACCCCATTCTTCATTAAGATTCATTTTTACTTATCTTTATATACAGAAGACCAACTCTACACTAAGTAAAGAGTTCAACAGTTTGCACCCACACAGACACACAAAGTATAAAGTACTGTTTGAAGACAAGTTTTACTGTTAATTCTCATAGTAAAATGCATTAAAGACAGAGGTCTTACATGGGGAGCAAGTGCACAGTGACTCCTATTGGTGATTTAACAACTGACATACTTATTGATGACGTCAGTAATCACCCACGGCTCTTGTCTTGAGCTGCCAAGGCTATGGAAGCCTTTTCAGTCCACAAACTCCAACATTATTTGATGGTGCCATAAGCACAGTGCCTTGGCTTTCCATGCCTGAAATGCTCTCATGGGCTTTTCAGCCAGAAATGCCTTAAGGGCTAATTCTGAGGTCAGAGTGCTGTTTAGGGTGTTTGTCATTCTGAGTCTGCTGTGTGGCCTCTTCCCATGTTGGCTCATTCTCTCTTTTTTAATTCTATCTATTGTTATTACCAGATACTTGGTCTTATTTTTGTGATCCCTTTGACACTTAATGCTAGCTATATGATCAGTTACACACTTAATATGATCACTTGAACACGTAAGATGGCATTAGGACCACCCAGCTTAATGGGATTTGGAGTCCCATGTGTGGGGAGCAACTGGGAGCAACTTGGACTAGACTAAGTTACTGGAATTAAGACTTATTCTATGCATCTGCTCTCCCACAATATGGCGCTGGGAGAGGAGGAAACAGCTTCTACACAGCTGCCTCCAGTTCAACCAATAAACTGTAGGACCTGCTCCTGATTGGAGGAGAGCAGCGTACTCGGCGTGTGGGTAGCAGAGTTGGGATTGGTGGAAGAGGACTATAAAGGAGGAGAGAGACAACATGCACCAGGAACATCTATCTGAAGGAACACCTGTGCAGCCCCCGAGAGAGCCGGCTGGCGGTGTGCCACTCCCCCGCGGAAGTGGGGAAAGTGGCTAGGGGGAACCGCCCTTCCACGGAGGTGGAAGGGTTGGTAGCCAACCCGGGAAGAACCAGCAGCAAACCCGGGAAGGGCCGAGCAGACAAAAGAACAGCGCAGGGTCCTGTGTCGTTCCTCCACGAAGACAGGGAGCGACACCCATGGCAAGTTTTTAGCTTTATCCTTTCTTTATACTTATAATTACCAAAATTTTACCTAATGACCCTGTGGTTTCACAATTCAGGAACATAGAAATGTTTACAGGTTATTTTAAATTCCTAAAAAGCCAAGCGATAGCTGCTATACGTTAAAAGATACTAACCAGTGACTTTAATGAAGACCCCCTCCTCCTTCTCTGATGCCTGTCATCACCAGCAAGAGAGAAGGGAAGAGAAAACGCATGATGGGGCTACAGAATGGCTTCTTACAGGAGAAATCTGGAATTGCTCTAGCACTGAGCACCAAGCATGGGCTGCCTGTGCTGGGGTGGGCACTGAGTGAACGTGGAAAATGGCTCACCTGGGAGTTCACCTGGGGCTGCACCATGGGCCTCATCACTGCAGCACCGCCAGCAGCTGGGTTTTCTATTTTCATGTCGAGTGCCTGACGGCTCTGATTCAAAAACTGAAGCAAGGCAGGTTCATTAGAATGCAAGTGAGCATGTTAACAGCCCCAAACAGCTTTCCAAACCCTCAGCACCAGCGCCTAAGGTCACGACATCTCTAAATCCATTAATGTGGCTAAGCCACACCTAGCTGGACCAGTACACTTTCGCATGCACAAGGTGAATGATGAGGTGGGTGTTGTGTGTGGCACAGTGGATTAAGCTGCTGCTTGGGGCACTTGCATCCTATTATCGGAGTGCTGGTTCAAGTCCCAGCACCTCCTGCTTCTGATCCAGCCTCTTAATGTAACCCGGGAGGCAGCAGGTAATGGCCTGAGTGTTTGGGCCCCTACCACCTACAAAGAGGCCCAGATGGAGTTCCAGGCTCCTTCCCAGCCCTGGCTGTTGTGGGCATTTGGGAAATAGACCAGCACGTGGAAAACAGAGATCTATCTACATCTCCCCTTCTTCCCCACTGGCCACTCAAGAAATTGAAAATAAACATTTAAAAAAAGGTTAATGATGAAAAGTTCTTGCCTCGTATATAAAGCCTTACTGTTTGGCATTGGGAGAAAAATCAAAGTGCAATTGTGCAGTTTAAAGAGTATCTTTAAGGGGTCGGCACTGTGGTGCAGTGCGTTAATCCTCTGCCTGCGGCGCCGGCATCCCATATGGTCTCCAGTTCTAGTCCCGGCTGCTCCACTTCCAATCCAGCTCTCTGCTGTGGCCTGGGAAAACAGTGGGAGATGGCCCAAGTCCTTGGACCCTGCACCCACGTGGGAGACCCGGAAGAAGCTCCTAGCTCCTGGCTTCGGATCAGCACAGTTCCAACCATTGCGGCCTTCTGGGGAGTGAACCAATAGATGGAAGACCTCTCTCTGTCTCTGTCTCTCTCTCTCTGTCTCTCTCTGTGTGCCTCTCAAATATATTTTTAGATTTATTTTTATTTATTTGAAAGAGTTACAGATAGAGAGGTCTTCCATCCGATGGTTCACACCCCAGATGGCCACAATGGCTGGAGCTGTGCCAATCCGAAGCCAGGAGCTTCTTTTGGGTCTCCCACATAGGTGCAGGGGCCCAAAGACTTGGGCCATCTTCTACTGCTATCCCAGACCATAGCAGAGAGCTGGATCAGAAGAGGAGCAACCGGGACTAGAACTGGCACCCATAAGGGATGCCGGCGCTTCAGGCCAGGGCTTTAACCCTCTGTGCCACAGCGCCGGCCCAAAATAAAGAGCATCTTCAGGATTACTCAGGCACTTGGTTGGTCCCCATGCCTCATGGTATGGGAGGTCTTCTGGCATGCTCCTCTGCCCATGGGCCCCTTCTCCCTTGCAGCCTCTGGTCTACTCCCTGGGAAAACCTGGCATGAAACTCCTGGTTTAAGTCCTGATAATTTTCTCCCTGAAATAAAGCTGTCCCTTTCCTGTGCATTGCTCTCACTACATAAATACTAAAAGCTTAAAAATAAATAAATAAATAACGAGTATCTTCAGGATCATTCAGGTACTTCAGGAAATAGGTTGAACTTGATCAGAGTAATAGTGAATAAAGTATTTCCTCTGCTACCTTTCCCTAAGTAACTGCTAGTGAAAAGGAAAAAAAGATAAAAAGTAAAAGGAGGCCGGCACCGTGATTCACTAGGCTAATCCTCTGCCTTGCAGCGCCGGCACACCGGGTTCTAGTCCCGGTTGGGGCGCCGGATTCTGTCCCAGTTGCCCCTCTTCCAGGCCAGCTCTCTGCTGTGGCCAGGGAGTGCAGTGGAGGATGGCCCAAGTACTTGGGCCCTGCACCCACATGGGAGACCAGGACAAGTACCTGGCTCCTGCCTTCAGATCAGCGCGGTGTGCCGGCCGCAGCAGCCATTGGAGGGTGAACCAATGGCAAAAGAAAAGACCTTTCTCTCTGTCTCTCTCTCTCTCACTGTCCACTCTGCCTGTCAAAAAATAAAAAATAAATAAAAATAATAAAAAAAAAAACTAAAAGGACCCATTGCCACAGCTTTCCCAAGTATCTACGCTGACTTTAGGATTGTTCGTGCGGCAGAGAGTCTTGGGCTCAACGGATCTAAAGGTAGCTTAGTTCTGCCACATTTAATGACTCAGAATACTCAAGACACAGACAGTAGAAATTAAATCTTGAAGCACTTGTGGGGAGGCAGGAGCGTGGCCTAGTAAGACGCGCATGTCCCACATCAGAACGCAGTGTTTGAGTCCCAACTCCGACTCCTTTCTGCAGCTTCCTGCCAACAGAGCCCCTGGAGGCAGCAGTCTGGCTCAGGTGGTTGGATTCCCCCACCTGAGTGGGAGACAAGGATTGGGTTCCCGCCCTTTGATTTCAGCCTCCCAGCCATTGTGGACATTTAGGGAAGGGAGCCAGAGGATGGGAGCTCCCTCCCTCTCTGCCTCTCAAATTAACTTTTTTAAACAGGTAGAGTTATTGACAGTGAGAGAGAGACAGAGAGAAAGGTCTTCCTTCCGTTGGTTCACTCCCCTAATGGCCGCTATGGCTGGCGCTGCACCAATCTGAAGCCAGGAGCCAGGTGCTTCCTCCTGGTCTCCCATGCGGGTGCAGGGACCCAAGCACTTGGGCCATCCTCCACTGCCTTCCCCGGGCCACAGCAGAGAGCTGGACTGGAAGAGGAGCAACCGGGACAAAATCAGCACCCCAAACGGGATTAGAACCCAGTGTGCCGGCGCCGCAGGCAGAGGATTAACCAAGTGAGCCGTGGCGCCGGGCAAATAACTTTTAATTAAAATTAAAACATTAGTTGGGGGTAAAGAAACAATGACAGAACAGAAATCTTATCCTAGGATATTAATAGAGAGCTCCAGTTCTATAAAATTTCTAGATACCAGAAGTTTCAGAAAATGTGCTAAAATCAAGGTTTAAATATTTGGTTATTAGTATTAAGGACTTTTAGAAAACAAATTACCTACCTTTAAGAAATCAATGAACACATTATTCCCCCTAACTCAATTCTTTCTGGTATGTGTGCCTTTTGAACCTATACAATGGAATGCTCTACTGAAAGGTGTCCATGGGCCAGCATTGTAAAGCTACCACCCCTACCACTGGAATCCCATATGGATGCCAGTTCAAGTCTCAGCTGCTCCTCTTCAATCCAGCTCCCTGCTAATGGTCTGGGAAAGCAGTGGAAGATGGACCCCCCGACACCCACACTGGAGACCCAGAAGAAGCTCCTGCCTTCAACCTTGGAAGATTCCTTCTCTGTGTGTGTGTGTGTGTGTGTGTGTCCCTATCTCTCTAGCTCTTTCAAATAAACAAATCTTTAAGGAAAAAAAAAAAAAGAGGTATCCAATTCTAAAACAGCCACTCGTAAGCAAGGAGCCATCTGTTACAAATCTTAACACAGGAGGATTTCCTTTACTTGACAAGAGAGAGAACCAGAGGAAAGAGCTCTGAGGAACACAATCCAAAAGCAAGTAAAGCAGTGAGGCCAGAAGAAAGGCAGGTGGGCAACCCAGAGGACGCAACTGTTACCTGCTGGCCCTGCAGCCTCTGCTGGAGCTGCATTCTGAGCTGCTTGGGGGTGTTTGTCCGGGGCCTCATCATGTTGGCCCTGGGGTGCGCTCCTTGGAGAGGGAAGCCGCCCTGCTGGCTCATCTGAGTCATCATGGAGTTAAAGGACGGTGACTGTCCCTGCAGATTAAAGCCTCCTTGCATGGGAGGCCCCTGTGCAGGGTACGGCTGCCCATACAACGCTGCCTTCTGCTCCATCGTCACTGCTGCTTCTTGGCCTGGGAAAGCATCCTGTTTGGGCTCCAGAGCTTGTCCCTTAACATCCAACACACAAACACAACAGGGAAGCGCATCAGTGAAAGCAGTCAAAAGGTGAAAACGTGGGCAATCATGCTGCAGGATTCCAAAAACAAAGTCGAATTTATTTTCTTACCATCTGAGGTCTCACACCCTATCAGTTCATGGCCACGACCTAGTGCCTAGCACAGACTCCCACACAGGGAGACACTCAAACATTGTGTGAGCTAAATATTCACAACGTATTAAACACTTGGAGAAACAGTATTTGTTCCAGATCAGACTTCTGTGCCAACAAACATGTATCTCCCAAGCCAAGCATAAATCAATTAAAGGCACTGCAATCACTGAATTCCACTGCAGTTCGAATTTCTGACGGCAGCAAGGGGTGCCTTTCAGGAGAGGGAGAGGCAGGTCACACGCCCCCTTGGCACGCATCCACCCGGTGAGCAGAAGCTGCAGCAGGCCGTCTCAGCACTCTCGTGGGGAACAAAGAAGTCACTGTGCTCAGCAAGTACTGATGAGACCACGTGGAGGCCGGCACTTCCTGTGTGCTAGGACACGCACAAAAGCGCATCCAGCAGGTGCAGGAGAAAAAAGTAAAAACCCTATTTTTAAAATTTTTTTATTTATGGGGCCGGCACTGTGGCTCACTAGGTTAATCCTCCGCCTGTGGCACCGGCACCCCAGGTCCTAGTCCCAGTTGGGGCGCCGGGTTCTAGTCTCGGTCGCTCCTCTTCCAGGCCAGCTCTCTGCTGTGGCCCGGGAGTGCAGTGGAGGATGGCCCAAGTGCTTGGGCCCTGCACCCCATGGGAGACCAGGAGAGGCACCTGGCTCCTGGCTTCAGATCGGTGCAGCACCAGCCGTATCGGCCATTTGGGTGGTGAGCCAACAGAAGGAATACCTTTCTCTCTGTCTCTGTCTCTAACTCTACCTGTCAAAAAAATTTTTTTTTATTTATTTGAAAGTCAGAGATACAGAGGTCTCCTCACTGCCCAAATGCCTGCAGCAGCCAGGGCGAGCCAGGAGCTCCAGGTCAAAGCCAGGAGCCAGCACTTGAACCTGCGTCACCCACAGGGGGCAGGGCCGCTGCCTGACTCACCCTCGCTGCTCCCAGGCACACGCTGCCGGGCAGAGCTGCACTGGAACTCGGGCGGCGCAGCTCCTGCTCAGAACCCCCGTGAAATGAAGCCGCTGCAGGCGGAGCCTGCCTCTGTGCCACAACAAGGCTCTCGGTCACAGGCTGGAGTGCTCACCCAGCATGCATCAGCACCCCGACAAGCCCGACTCCACCCTGTGGGAGTCCGCGACTCCACTGCTGGTTTTCTTCTCCCTCAGGCCTTCCCTTGGACGAATAACAAGAATTCCTATCAGAGTTCAGCCCCAGACTCTCTTCTCTCTGCTTGGGCATTCTCACCCACACGTAATAACAGGAAACTTTTGCTTCCAACACAAACATCTCCGCGTGCTTAGTTTTATTTATGCAAATAAATGCCTGCTTTCCATCATTACCTGGACACGCCAGGCACCTCCATGGCCACCCCACCCACCACCCAGAACTAAACTCTTCACCTCCTCCCTCTCCGCCTGTGTGCGCACAGTCCACCAAGTCCTGACAGCCTTTCCACCATGACATAGCAAGCACCTTCCTCTCTTTGCACATCTCTGCTCCCAACACGCTTCTTGGACTCTCGCAATAACCGGCACCCAAGCCTCTGCTTTGCTCCACCACGCCCTCTGGACGGCAGTCAGAGATCTCCTAAAGCAAATCAGACCTGCAGATAAAATATGGCAGACTACCCAGGCGTGTATGCATGCCTACCTTTCTCTTGGGAATGCTACTAAGATGAAGTAAAGAATATAGCCAGAAAAATAATAAACATAAATATATTTAATATAAATTTACTTAATTTATATTTATAATATATGTAAACATTTACATTAAATTTATAAATATAAAAATAATAAGGAAGGCAACCAGATAAAGTATTTGATAGGTATCTAGAAGACAGGAAGTGCATGAAGGAGTAGGAGCCAACTTCTACAGCAGAGAAACACAGGCCTCGTGTGCCTGCAGGAGAAACATACACACGCGAAGTGAGCAGACGGAGCCACCAGAACCAGAGAAGCTGGACGGAGCCAGCAGAGGACCAGGTTCAGGGCTGAGCCCGAGTGAGCCAGGAGTCGGGACAGAGAAACAGGGAGTCGACCACTTCTCTGACCACTTCCTGCCTCCCTCAAAGCCCAGGATCAGGAGCTCCAAGCGCAGCAGAGAGCAAGATGAGGCAGAGGCCAAAGACTGGAAACTGTGTATCTTACATATTGGTAATTTCCAGCAAAACTTTGTACTTTATAATTTTATATTCCACACCATGAGACTATCCTCTTGTCTCCCCAGCCTGGCTTGCTAAAATGCAACCACGCAATAAAAGATTCCCAGGCAAGAAACGGAGCCCTTGTCTCCAGAAAACACGCAGACAGTGCCTGGGAGGTGGGACGAGTGGTTTCTACGAGCTGCAATCTGGGGACTCTAATTAAAAGCCCAGCTCCCTATCCCTTCCTAATAATTCTCTGTAAATGTGAGCAGGATCAGTTGTCTTTACGGAGCCTCAAATCAACTTTTTCTTCTTCTTTAATTTGAGATACAGAGAGAGCTCTAATTTACTGGTTCACAACCCAAGTACCCACAATGGCAGAGCCGGGCTGGGCCAGGCTGAAGTTGGAAGCTAGGAACTCAATCCAGGCCTCCTACATGGGTGGCAAGAACCTAGTGCTGCCTCCCAGGGTACGCATTAGCAGGAAGCCGGAGCTGGGCGCGGAGACGCGATGTGGGTATCCCAACGGTGCCAAGTGCCCATCCCCAAATCACCTTTTCAATGTATCATTCCTAGACAGTGAACGATCACCAGATATTTGAGAAAAGCTTCCAACATAGAAGTGACTCCAATAAATAGCAAGGAACTCAAACGGCCACATGCTTAAGAACAGGAATCTGAACGGAAAACAACTCAATGACAACACTAGATGCCAGAAAACTACAGAAGAACTTTTCAAAGTTCTAAGAAGAAATTATTCCCAACCTAAAGTCTAATACATGATCAGACATGCAGGGAAGATAGAACAAACATACTTGCAGACACAAAAATACCCACACATTTTTTATCTCATCAAGTACAAACAGATAAGTTAATACAAGCTATGTTGCAGTAAAACAAGGAGTAAACCAAAAAAATGACTTGAGACCCAGGGAACTGGTAGCCCAACACAGGAGAATAATGACAAGCATGGAGTAAAACAGAAGAGACTACAGGACAAAGGGAAGGAACTGGTGGCTTTTTAATGTGTTTGAACATGTGAAAAAAAATGAGAAATTGTATAGTTTCCTTAGACTACCTATCTGGCGGACAATTATCATTAAGTGGAAACAGCGAAAAAGAAAAGACAATTACCAACTAAAAAATATAAATGATACACACGCCACCCTCGACACAGCAATAGACCGAACTGTGGCACTACCGACCGTGGCAGCCCTAAGTGTGCGCGGCGCACAGCCCGTGCTCCTGTGCGATGCAGAGACGATCGCGCACGCTGGGGCGCACCGCGGGGAGAGGCGAGAGCAGCTCAGAGCCACAGCTTCCGGCCTAGAACTCGGAACTTCAAAAAAAGCTCCAGAAGAACCCAATCACTTCACTAGCAGCAAACATGATAGCAACGTACATGAAATAACACCTCTCTAGGGCCGGCACCGCGGCGCAGTGCGTTAATCCTCTGCCTGCGGCGCCGGCATCCCATATGGGCGCCAGTTCTAGTCCCAGCTGCTCCTCTTCCATTGCAGCTCTCTGCTGTGGCCTGGGAAAGCAGTGGAGGATGGTCCAGGTGCTTGGGCCCTGCACCCACGTGGGCGACCGAGAAGAAGCACCTTGCTCCTGGCTTCGGATCGGTGCAGCTCTGGCTGTTTGGCATTTGGAGACTGAACCAGTGGAGGGAAGACCTTTCTCTCTGTCTCTCCCTCTCACTGTCTATAACTCTACCTCTCAAATAAATAAAAATTAAAAATTTAAAAAAAAAAAAAAAAAGGAGGCTGGCGCCGCGGCTCACTTGGCTAATCCTCCACCTGCGTTGCCAGCATCCCGGGTTCTAGTCCCGGTTGCTCCTCTTCCAGTCCAGCTCTATGCTGTGGTCCAGGAGGGCAGCAGACGATGGCCCAAGTGCTTGGGCTCTGCACCTGCACGGGAGACCAGGACGAAACACCTGGTCCCTGGCTTCGGATCGGTGCAGTGTGCCTGCCGTGGCGGCCATTTGAGGGGTGAACCAATGGAAAAGGAAGACCTTTCTCTCTGTCTCTCTCTCACTGTCTAACTCTGCCTGTCAAAAAAAAAAAAGAAAGAACACCTCTATCCACACGGCATACTCTGTGTGACTAATTTTGTTTTGGAAGTATTAATTATATATTTTGCTGTAGAAGTGTTTGAACACAAAACTCTACAAGGGGTATACTATGTAACATATGGTATTTTTGCACCATTTCCTCTTACTAAAATCCAAAAACTCCTGAATTCCAAAGTATACCTGGCCCCAAGATTCTCAGATAAGAGATTATAAATGTGTAATCGATTACTTACCAGGAATTCAATAGATATAGACTAAGGTTGATAAAGAAACAGCTAATTAAGCATGTCACTTAGCAAAATAAACAAGGAGCTGAGTTTCATTACCTCCAGAGTCGAGCAAGTAACTGGTATTTCAATAAAAATATTTTTGGGGCCAGCATTGCAGCATAACGGGTTAAGCCACTGCCTGTGATGTCCGAAGCCCACACAGGTACCAACGTCTGATCCAGCTAATAATGTGCCTGAGAAGGCAGTGAAAGTTGTCCCAAGTGCTTGGGCCCCTGCACCCACACGAGACCCAGATGGAGCTCCAGAATCCTGGCTTCAGCCTGGCCCAGCCCTGGCTATTGAAGCCATTTGGGGAGCAAACCAGCAGATGAAAAGAGCTCTGTCTCTTCCTCTCTCTATAACTCTGCTTTCAAATAAATCAATCTTTAAAATTTTTATTTTTTTATTATACACTTTTCATATCAAGTGACAAATAGACTGCTTTGCAAAAACTAAAAAATTAATCACACATAGAAGGAAAACAAGTCTCATCACTACCCAGCTTCAAATTTTTCTATGGCTTCCCAATTCTGTAGAAAACTTTTCAATTCCTTAAAATGGCTCTGTGGGGGTGGGCATTTGGTCCAACAGTTGGGACACTGCCTGGGATACCTGTATCCCTACCGGAATGCCAGGGTTTGAGGACCTGCTCCTCTTCTAGTCCAGCTTCTGGCCATGCCCTGAAAGGCAGCAGGCGATGGTCTAAGTGCTTGGGACCCTGCCACACACACAGAAGACTCAGACTGAGTCAGACTGAGTTCCTGGCTTCAGCTTGGTCCCTCTTGGGCCCAGCCCCAGCTGCTACATTTGGGAAGTGAACCAGCGGACAGAATATTGATCACTGTGTGGGAAGTGAACTAGCAGATAGAACATCTACGTATGTGTGTCTCTCTGACTTTCAAATAAATATTTTTTTAAATAATAAAAACTTAAAATGATGGCTTTGTGGATCTGGGCCTCTACTGACTTCTCTAACATCATTTAACATCACTTACCCTTGCACTGCTGATACTCACTTTGTAGAATCCCTAAGCTCTACCGCCTAAGGACTTTTGAGTTTGCTCTTCTGGGATGCGCTCCCCAAGCTCCCTGCGTGGCTGACTCATTCTGTCCTTCATGTGTCAGCCCCAAAAGAGCTTTCCTGGCCACTCAAGTGAGCCCTCACTTATTCTTTATCTCATTCCCCTGGAGTTGAAAACAAAGAACTTTTTAAACTAAAAAACAAAACTGAAAGCAATCCCCACTAAAAAGAAAGAAAACTAATTTGCAATACATTAGACAACCGTCATCCTTCAAATCCCAACTCAAACACTTTTTTAAAGAAAATTTTTATAATCTACTCAGCCCTGCCCCTACCCAAAGAACAGGTCCTCCTAAGACGCAGCCTCCAAGCACCAGACGCCTCTCCTGCCACTTCTGTTACACCACAGACTGTGCACGCGGCTCCCTGCCTGGTGTCTGCTGTGCTTATCGAATGTGAGCTTCGCAAGCAAGAACGACTTTGCTTACTACTGACCCCTCAGCCTGACGTCACACAGAAGACAAGTATTTCTGAACAAAGGAACAAATATAGACTCCTCTAGCAAATAAAATAAAATCCCCATCCAAAACTATAAACACACATGTAAGTGCATCTGTTTCAGATACACATCTACTGAATGCATCTACTTCAAAAATACAGATCTGTGAGTGGTGTGGCCCCTCATAAAACTGGAGACAATGGTATTGCATTCAGATTTGGTTTAAGATAATAAACAATGTACAGAGCGCATAATGGTTGGCCAGGTAGCAAAGGTAGCTATGAAAACAAGAACTCATCACAAAAAGCAGGACTTTCTAAATTATACGGCAGTTTCACTAAACATTTCTGTGCTCGACTAGAGTGTAACATCTTTACAGAACAGTAGGCTGCTCGCTGGAAGTAACATCACAGTCAAAAAGTCTGTTTTCTAAACTTGACGCTATGAATGCAGTCATGTAACACGAGTAGGAAACACACACACAGGCATTCCACGTGGCTCTGTGCGCGGTGCACACACACTCCTGCTTCTCTGTGAATGCAGCCTACCTGACTCACAAGTTCAGGGATGCCCAGGGCTCGGTCAATCTCCTCCAGGCCTGTGGCATCTGTGTTGCTCAGCAGAGTGTGCAGCTGGTCCAGCAGTGCTCTCTCATCACTCTGGCCCTCCAGGTTAGAAGGTGGTCCGAGGAGATCATCCAGGGAATTCCGAAGAAGGGGCCTACAGAGTGACTTGCAATCAATTTCAATAGTACTTTTTCTTTTCTTTCTTAAAAAAGACATTAGATCATAGTATCCATGTGTACTATTTTGAATGAACAATAATACCTCACATGACTAAATAGTAAACCATGTGATAGCGAACAACATACGGCAGTTTAAACTTAAGACCTACAGTTTTAAAACTTCACCAGGTCATCTTAGAATACCACACATAGCTCCAACCATATTCTGCTACCAAAAAGGATCATCAGACCTTAGGCTTTTGGAGAACAGAAGAGACTGGGGAGGGTGCTATTTTCAAAACAAGAATAGAAATGGTAGTAATTATGATACTTGAAAATTTGGTAAGGCAACAAAAGAAGAAAGGACAGATATACTGAATTATTATATTATATACTGACTGCAGCTACACAACTGTCAACATAGCTTTGTTCTACCTGACCCACACGACTCTCACAAGCATAATACAAGTCTACACACCCACAACAACGCGCCAGTTCTCCAACACACAGAAGTGTGAATTTGAAACTATTTGTGCACCACTGCACAGAGAAACATTCAAGTTAATAAGCTCATGAAGTTATAGTACTAATTACTGCATAAATTGGTTCATGTTTTTTATTTACTGTAGAATTTGAGTCACAGTTAACACTGACAATAATAATCTCTTACATGCAAATAAGTTACTAAGCTACATCAGATACAGACTGAACCTACACTCTTTCACAGAATTTACAAGGGTACTACAGTTTAAACATTTCAGTGATGATGGTGAAGGTAAACAATTTTAGAAAAGAATTAGTCAATCCATAAAAATCAATTTTCCAGAAAGCTAAGGCACCATTTATACAATCCCTGGGGCAGGCATCCATCTTGTCACATGGACACTAATGCCCCTCCCAGAGAATTCTGGAAGATAAGCATCCAGGACCGGCTCTGAGGCCTGACCCTGACCCTGACCCTAACCCTAACCCTGACGGCTGCGACGCAGCTCTCTCCTCCCCCTGACAGGAGCCAACTGCTTTGCCTCAGCCTCACTGCTCCTCACTATTTGAAGCAGTGCCCCGCAGCAGCCACGTATCTCAGTTACAGAGGATCTTCCCATTCTCTTTCAGATCCGTTACTATGCTCACACTCTTTTTCTAGATAATCCAACACTAAACATTTTAGGCAGAAGTCAAAAACAAAGCCTCACCTATTTTGAGTGGTATGCGGGCCCTGTTCCATGGACAGCATGCCATCTGGCCAGGAACCTGACTGGTTAGGCGGTGCTGCTTGGCCATAGGGATTGACCCCCATTCCCATGGGAATCTCACTAGGCCCTGGGGGAGGAAAAACCACAAATTTCTGAATAAGCCAATATCAGAAACTACCCTAAAATACCCAGTGTCCTTTTTTTAGTGACAGGGACACTTACTCATTTGAACCATCTGCTGCTGGGGCTGCTGCTGCTGCTGCAACATGGGTCTCGCGCCCGGGATGCTGTCGGACCGCAGAGGCAAGGAGGGCACAGAGCCCCCCAGGGCAGGTCTGGATAAAGACGCGTTGTAATCTGCTGCTCTTCCCATGGGGCTGGAGCTCATAGGCTCCATTCTGGCAGCCTTTGAGCTCGGCACACCCCAGTCTCCCGAAGGAGGAGTCTGATTCACAGGCACATTTCTGTTTGGTCCACCTAAAACAGGCAGAAATAATTAGGTCTTCCCCATATTATAATGAACTCTTCCTTGTATCATACCAGTGCGGTCATAACATTCATCAACCTTGACAAAAAAAAAAGTATTCTGGGATGGCCAACTCTGCACAGTGCTGATAGGTTACTATTCTCACGTGTCCAACACAGAACAAGACTCCCAACAGTTTAAACAACCAAAGCATAGAATAAATGGACACGCATGAAAGAATGCTCATGTTAAACCTGGTACCCAATAAATATGTATGATTTTTATTTATCAGTTAAAATTTTAAACATGAAAGCTGGGGGCTGGCGCTGTGGCGTGGCAGGTAAAGCTGCTGCCTGTGGTGCCAGCATCCCATATGGGCGCTGGTTCAAGTCTGGCTGCTCCACTTCCGATCCAGCCCCCTGCTGTGGCCTGGGAAAGCAGAAGATGGTTCAAGTGCTTGGGCCCCTGCACCCACACGGGAGACCTAAAAGAAGCTCCTGGCTTCAGATCGGCTCAGCTCCAGCCATTGCAGCCATTTGGGGAGTGAACCAATAGATGGAAGACCTTTCTCTCTCTCTCTCTGCCCCTGTGTAACTCTGCCTTTCAAATAAATAAGTAAATCTTTTTAAAAAAGATTTTTAAAAAAGACAGTGAGAGAGAGACAGAGAAAGGTCTTCCCTTCGTTGGTTCACTCCCCAAATGGCCGCTACGGCCGGAGCTGAGTCAATCCGAAGCCAGGAGTCAGGAGCTTCTTTCCTGGTCTCCCACGCAGGTGCGGCGCCCAAGCACTTGGGCCATCCTCCACTGCCTTCCCAGGCCACAGCAGAGAGCTGGACTGGAAAAGAAGCATCCAGGGCTAGAACCCGGCACCCATATAGGATGCCGGCGCCGTAGGCAGAGGATTAACCTAGTGCACCACCACGCCAGCCCCATAAGTAAATCTGGAAAAGGAAAAGGACAAGGACAAGGAAAAAGAAAAGACTTACTACTGAGTCCCAATTATTTAAACAATTTTAAGTGTCTTAAATTTTCTTTGCCAAAAAGAAACTTTTGATCCCAGATACTAACTAGAAATAACATACCCGTATTTGAGCCATAACTTTCATGGGTATCCATCACTCTGGGGTTCCCCCCCAACACAGGCTGCTTTGGTAACATGGGAAAAGCACTGATGTTCTTCACTGGAGGACTTGAGCCAGCAGAAACAGGGCTGTCTAGAGACGCCGCTCGGCCGTACGGAGGACGAATGGACTGCACAGACGGTGGGCTTCTCAAACCTGAGAAAAACAGAGGCACAACACGTGTACACAGATATCCCCTGATGACACACAAAAAATCGAGCACAAGACATAAACACTACAACTCTCCAACCAAGAGCGCCTCCCTCTCATGAAAACAAACACTACCTTCCTTTACAAACGAACACTAAGGAGCGGGTACCATGCAGCGGTTAACAAGTCTGCAACCCATACTAGAGCACAAGTTCAAGTCAGAGCTGCTCCACTTCCAATCCAGCTTCCTGCTTATGTGCCTGGCAGCCACCAACAACAGTCTAAGTTTTGGGCACCTGCCACCAATGTGGGAGGCACAGATGGAGTTCCTGTTTGCTCGCTTCAGGCTGGCCCAACCCTGGTTGTTGTGGGCCTCTGGGGAGTGAACCAGCAGATGGATTATCTGTTGCTGCTCTTTCAAGAGGATAAAAATTCAAAAAAAAATTTTTTAATTAAATAAATAGGGGCTGACATGTGCTTCAGCACATTAGATTGCCTCTTTTTTTTTTTTAAAGATGTATTTATTTATTTGAAAGAGTTACACAGTGAGAGAAGGAGAGGCACAGAAAGAGACAGATCTTCCATCCACTGGTTCACTCCTCTAATGGCCACAATAGCTGGAGCTGGGCCGATCTGAAGCCAGGAGCCTCGAGCCTCTTCCAGGTCTCCCAAGTGGGTGCAGGGGCCCAAGGACTTGGGCCATCCTCCACTGCTTTCCCAAGCCATAGCAGAGAGCTGGATCAGAAGTGGAACAGCCAGGACTCGAACCAGTGCCCATATAGGATGCCAGCATTGCAGGTGGCGGCTTTTACCTGCTACCCCACAGTGCTGGTCCCTAGATTGCCTCTTGTGAGACTGGTATCCCACAGTGGAGTGTTGGTTAGAGTCCCATCCATGGGTCAGCTCTCCAAATGGCCACCTTGGCTGGACTAGGCCAAGCAGAAGCCAGGAGCCAGAAGCCAAGAGCCTCTTCTGAGTGCTCTTGTCCAAGTACTTGGGTCAAACTCTGCTGTTTCCCAGGCACATTAAGCTGGAAACTGGACTGGAAGTGGAACAGCCTGGACTCGAATTGGCACCCACATGGGAGGTCAGTGTCACAGGTGGCTTAACCTGTCATGCTACAATGCTGGCCCCCAAAGAACAAGTTTTAACCTATAGTTTGAGTTGCTTTTTAATCCAATTCTCTGTGGCTAAGAAAAATATATGTCCTAACACCCCAACACCTACTACTCATCTAGAATAATCAAAGATGGACATACTGACATATTAATTAGAAATGGGAATTTAAAACAGGAAACCAAAGGTTTTTAAATCGCACACATTAAAGACTGGCATAAGAAACTGAGAGGCAGAGTTTGTTGTGCAGTTACGTTAGTCACGCCCGCCTTCGTGTTACAGTGCACAAGCGTGCAGCAAAGTTTCAGACAGCAAACACCAACCTGTTGGTTCTTTCTTACCCAAAGAATTCGTTCCTTGAAACATCTGTTGCTTAGTCCCTGGATGACTGCCATTTGTGGATATAGAATTGTTGTAGAAGTCAGAACTAGTTAGATCACCGAGAATAGCATCCAGATTATCCAGCTCTCCAGATCCCTGAAAACAAAACTTTAAAAATTAACCTGCAGGCATCACTAGATACACAAATACAAACACACTCATCAGGATACAGGAAACGGGAACAAGCTAACACGAGTTCCCTGAAATAATAATGCCCAACTTTAGAGCTGGTTTACATGAACCCCTATCCCTATTCCTGCTCATTATGACAGCTTCAAGCACTGAGACAGATCACTGGATTTGGGAGCAATCCCAAAAGAGCTTTGGTCCATAAATGTGGTATACACCACCAGGTTAAACAAATTTAAGCCCACATCCTAACTGTAAGACCACCCAAGCCTTTCATGTGTTCGCAGGTATATATTACCACCTTCTGGTGTTCCTCAAGTGGGATTTGGGAAATGATTACATAGAATGGGACTGTATGCAAGAAAGTTAATTATTGGGTAACAATAAAAATTACGTTGTTCAAATCTAAAGTTTTTTCCTGATAATTTCTACCATGCCCTTAATGACCCAAACTGTTCATTCCAACCAAAAACATCTCCATGAGAAATTTTCAAACTGATCACAAAAAGTTATATTTACATTTTAAAATATATACATTTGATATTTCTAAAATGCAGCACAGTAACTTTACTGGGGCCCAAAACAATGACAGAACAAAAGCAAGAATCATTTCCACTAACTAAACCTGAAATAAAAGAACTGTCTTTTACTGTCTCCCTACTACAGAAATGAAAGGCCGAGACACAGTGACTAGGCGGCGCGGAGGACAGACAGATTACCTCTTCACTCGTTTCCGTCTTGACTTTCGATTCCTTCTCCTGACTCGAGCTGGGAGTGGAGGAACTGCTGCACGGGTTCCCTTTGCTTTCCACTAGGTGGGGCTGCAGCTCTTTGGCGAGCGCGTCGCTGGGGTCATCCCTGTCCAGCAGGTACCTGAGGAGCGCGTTGTTCTCCTTCTTCTTGGGACTCAGCTGCTCCTGCTTGACACTCCCCTCCCCGCAGGACGCCGCGCTGCTGGTGTCCTTCCCGGTGGCCTCGGCAGTAATCTTGGCGACTTCGGCTGGCGAGTTCCCATTCTGCAGCAACTTGTGCAAAATCCGGTGCTTCTCCTGCAGCAGTGACCCGTGCATGTTGGAGGTGGAGGACACGCCCCCCGGGGTCGAGGATGAGACTCCAGAGGGGCTGGTGACGCTAATGGAGGAGTCTTTACAACTGGAGTCGAGCGGGGAGTTGGTCAGGGAGGAGTGGCCGCGGTCGTCAGAAGAACAGGTGAGCAGCTGCAGTAGTTTCTTGTGGCCTTTGCTCTCCAAAGGGCCCCGCTGACTCTCTGGCCCCTCAGCACCACCCTCCTTACCCTCTTTGTCACCGAGGTGATCTCTACTGTTTGACTGGCAGATTGAACTCTCCACTGGGTTCTGCTCACAAAAGAAGCCTAAGGGACTTTTGGAATCCTGACTGCTCCCTTTACTTGGCTGGGCTATATTCATATTTGGAGAGTTGTCTAATTTGGGGCCTGGTGAAGACAGAGTGGATAAGAGAGAAGTCCCCACGCCCTCGCTGATGGCTTGCAGGGCACTGAGAGAGCTGCTGGAAAAGCTGTGGCTCCCGCTGCTGCTGGCAGATCCCATGGGAGAGTGCACCCCTGGATTTGGAGAGAAGTTGGGGAAAGAAGCTATCAGACTAACAAAATACCACTTAATTCCTCAAAGTTCCTACTATAAGATAAATTCACTTTACAAGAGTTACAGTGATGACAGAAAGAAAAGAAGCCACTTAAAAACAAAAAGCAGGGGCAGCATTTGGCCCAGTACTTAAGATGTGCAAGTGCTGCATTGGAAGTGTTCCGGCTCAATCCCCGATTCTGGCTCCTGACTTGACGTTTCTGCTAACATGGCCCTGGGAGCAGCCGGTGATGGCTAAAGGAGAGGGGTCCGACTCATGGGGGACCTGGATATAGTTCCCAGCTCTGGCCCTGGCACAATCCTGGCTGTTATAGGCATTTGGGGAATGAACCAGCAGACAGGAGTTCTGTCTCTGTTCTCAAATAAATAAAAATTTAAATAACTTTAAAAAATAAAGAAAAGGAAGCGCCCACATGAATACCTGCAACAGGAGAAAACTGATGTGACGCCATCTTTGGACTACCGCGGTTACGAGGAGAAATCATGATGCTCTGCTGGCTGGGGCCCAGACCAGGACTCCCGTGGGGGGGGCTGCTCACGCTGAGCCCATAGCTGCTGCTCTGGTACGAAGATGGCGACTGCATGCTTGGCCCAGGCGTCAGTGAGGTTATGTTACTGGAACCCCCATACCTGGCTCCACTCATCTGCCCTGTGGGGCTGGGGTCTGCCAAACCATAGGCCCTGCTGCTCAGCATCTGTAAGCCTTGGTTTGGTGACATGTTCATGCCACCCACAGAACTGTTACACGCAGGTGCAGGAGGCCTAATGCCTTGTCCAACAGAGTTTGTGTTTGGTCTATACCCATTCTGTTCTCTGCAAAGAAACAAACAGCAAACATTCACTACAAATACAGGTATTCACTGAAGCCCTGAAACAGACTTTTCTTTTTTAAAAAAAGATGGAGTAACTGCCTAGGAGTTTAACTTCTTCAATGCTATTCCAACACCTAGTGATAAATTCAATTTAGGCACTGATCAGTTATTAACCTAGTAACGCACTTTACAATAAGCATGAATACCACACTACAGCACTGTTAACCGGAATCACAGCTGGGCTCTACTGGAGTTGCCACAGGAGTTAACCTGGAGGAACTTGCAAATTACTCAGGAAAACGAACAGGTGGATATCTTCCCTTCAGGCACCGCCCATTTACCATTAGCAATACCAATAGCAAGAATCTTTTGTTCTTAAAGCATACTTTCAAATTTCAAATTCAGTTTCTAAAAGCAATACAATACATCATTCGAAATGAAAGGGAACAGATGTAATCAGATTTTATATGCTCTTTTATCCACAAGCTTTCCTAGCAAGTAATTATTTAATGAATACTTCCTTTCACATAAAAATATAACCTTAAAGAAAACATACCTTAATCTAGGCATCTAAATGCACTTCACCTAACCCAACCTTAACATTGACACATCTTGAAAACACTGTTGCATTTAGTCCAAGAATACATCAGAACATATCATTACCTCTGAAGAAAGTGAGTTGACACAAAGCCATGCCGGTCATTTGTTACAGGATTCCGGAAGAGTTTGCTCTTTGTCTGTGCTGTCACTATAGTGCCATCAGCCAGGGAAAACCGATATACTGGGGTTTCTGCATGGCCATGTATATACGCTTTGGGGAAAATATTCCAGCATTAGTCATGACAAGCAGCAAAATAAACATATGTAAGGAGACTGGACTTGCAAAACTATGCATGAGCAAAAGTGTGCTCAAGAACAATCCCCCAACACACACACACATACACACACACAGACACGCATACACACTATGGCAGTCACATGTATAGTTAGTGTTTTATAGCACACCCAAGACAGCGACGAATCAATTCAAATATCTGTACCTTCTTGATAGTGACGCTTCTGGGTCCCTGGCTGCCCATCATTAAGGCTAAAAAACCTCTGGATACACCTTCGGATGGTATCTTCAAAGCCAGGCCTCATGGAGGATCTCAGAGAATTTGTGTCTATGTTGACAACCTTTCCTATTCAACAGAAAACAAAGATTTAAACCCAACCCAGAAGTACTCACTGGCTTAGCAGTGTGGAGTAAAAGACATTACATCTTTGCTCTACCTCCTCTGCTCCAAATTTGTTACATCCAGAGCTTTTCTCATTAGGGACAAAGTCCACAGAATACACATTATTTGGTCTTTGTCCAGGTTCCTGGCACAGAATTTCTAAAGTCTTGGAATTTCCTATGTGACAACAGTGTCCTGTGTCCTTTACCAGCTCAGCCCCTTTGATCCAGCTGGGTTTATTCCAGAGAAGTGACCTGGGGTGGCAGACTCTGGAAGGCCAGGACAGTGGGCGGGGCCAATAATCACTAAAAGAGCAATGATTAGAGGATGAGAACTTGCGGCACCACCCACTGACCTCCAGGAAATGGGGGAGGAGGTTTTGCTGGAGATTAAGCTTTAGAAAAACCTTTGAATAAAAGATCTCATGCGCTTCCAGGCTGATGAACAGACATCAAGGCGCTGGATGGGCTGCACGCCTGGAGGCGGGACTGAAGCTCTTGGCCCCCATCTTCACTCTGCTCATCAATACTTGGTTCTACACATCTCTTCCACCTGGCTGTTCCTGGGTTGTATCTTTTACAATGAATCATTAAACATAAGCACTGTTTGATTTCTTGAGCCATTCCTGCAAATTATCAGACCTGAGAGGGGGTCAAACAGACGTAGGAAAGCTGCCTACAACTGGCATCTGAAATGTGGGCAGCTTTGTAGAACTGAGCTGTTAGCCCTCAGGATCTGACAGGAGCTTAAACTGTAGGACACCCAATGGTCCATGTGGGGAGAGCCCCACTCGGTGTCACAGTGACGCATGAGCACACAGGAACAGGGCTCTCAGATGCTGTGTGAAACATGAGCGACTCACACAGCTCCTCCTCCCTGGATGCTCATAACAAGTCCAGACAATTGAGGTTTGCTGTCACCCAGCAATAAACCTACCCATAAAACTGCTGGTCTGATAAAACTCTGCCTGCAACCAGGAAGGAAGAGAAAACACTGAAAGACAGAAACCATTTTTCCATCCGAAAAGTCCCTCATCTTTGTACACTTAAAATCTAAACTAAGAGAGTTAATCAAATACCCATTTCCACACTTCTTACAAGTTTCTGACAACTTCTGTTTAACATCAAACATACTGGAGAAGCCAAATTTACATACTGAAAAGCGCTATGAAATAGATGAAGGTGGTCCTTAAAGACTGAGTCTTTTTGCTCTTAACAGCACCAGGGAGACTGGCAAGAACAAGCACTTCACAAAACAGAGCAGAAAGGGAGCCCCCTAAAAACCGCGCCATCTGTTTCCCAGGGAAGACTGGTATGCACCAGCTGTATTCAATGTAAGAAATACTGGGGACCAGTGCTTTGCAGCACCAGGGTAAGCTGCTGCTCGAGACACCGACATTCCACACTGGAGCGCCAGTTCAAGTCCAGGCCGCTCTGCTTCCCCACTTCCAACCCAGCTCTCTGCTAATGCACCTGGAAAAGCAGCAGACGACGGCTCAAGTGCTTGGGCCCTGCCACTCCATGTAGAAGACCAGAATAGAGTTCTAGGCTCCTGACTTTGGCCTGACCAAGTTCTGGCTGTTGAGGCCATTTGGGGAGTGAGTCAGTGGACGGAGATCTCTCTCTCTCTCTCTCTCTCTCTGATACTCTTTCAAATAAAGAGCTAAATAAATCTTAAAAAAAAAAAAAAGTTTATTTGAGAGGCAAAGCTTCAGACAGAGAAGGAGAGATGGCCACAATGGCCAGAGCTAAGCTGATCCAAAGCCAAGAGCCAAGAGTTTCTTCCAGGCCTCCCACGTGGGTATGGCTTTTCCAGGCCATCTGCAGGGAGTTGGATCAGAAGTGGAGCAGCCAGAACTCGAATCAGTGCCAATATGGGATGATGGCAGGGCAAGAAATGGCTTAACTCACTATATCACTGTGGCAGCCCCAATAAATCTTTTTTTAAAAGAGAAATATTAGTAACACTCAAGGAACCAAAATTATATTTCATAGCCTCAAAAGTTTTATGTTTTAAAGTGAGTCTTGCTAATCTGCAGAATGAAAAAAGTTGGATTTAGAAAATTCAAACCAATTACTGAGGATGTCCAGGGCAAAAGCTATATGACCAATGTCCATGGTATGGATTCTGTCCACAGCAAAATGTGCTCCACAGTCAAAATGGCAGACGAGGACTGAACCTCATGTTGTGGTCTTATACCACAAAAGGCTTCACTAAAAATGCGTACTCAGATCCAGGCAATCTCATACCACAGCAAATCCCAAAGATAACGGAAATCATGACCCAAGATGTACAACTACCCTGAAAGAAGTGGTAGACGAACTGACTCAAGAAAATTGGAAAAGACATAAAATAGGTCTGCCAATCCATTTATCCTCTATAATACAAGGGGTCTTTGGAAAGTTCATGGAAAATATATGCTATGAAAAATGTATTCATGGATTCCAAAAATTTTTTTGCTCCAAACCAAATCTATGTTTTAAGTTAATTTTTCCATAAACTTTCTGAAGTACCCTCATATGATCACTACAGCCAAGTTTGGACTGGGAAAATTCACAGAGCTTCCTTAATTTTCTAAAAATAGCTCTAAAAAAGCTACTAAGAATGAGAAAGGAACAGATGTGGAATAAGCCAATTGATAAGCCATCAGTTTAAGAATCTATTTAAAATTCAGACTTTAAAAGATTTATTTATTTGAAAGGCAGAGTTACAGAGAGAAAAGAGAGGCAGAGAGATCTTCCATCTGCTGGTTCACTTCCCAAATGGCCACAACCACCAGGACTGGTCCAAGCCAAAGCCATGAGCCTGGAACTCCATCTGCGTCTCCCGCCAGGGTGGCAGGGACCCGAGTACTTGGACTATCTTCCACTGCTTTCCCAGGCACATCAGCTGGGAGCTAGACAGGAAGTAATCAGGACTCAAACCAGAGATTATATGGGATGCTGGCATTGCAGACAGGGGTTTAATCTGCTGCACCACAACACCAGCCCCTAAAATTCAGATTTTTTTTTTTTTTTTTTTTTGACAGGCAGAGTGGACAGTGAGAGAGACAGAGGGAAAGGTCTTCCTTTACTGTTGGTTCATCCTCCAATGGCTGCCGCAGCCAATGCGCTGCGGCCGGCGCACCATACTGATCCGAAGCCAGGAGCCAGGTGCTTCTCCTGGTCTCCCATGTGGGTGCAGGGCCCAAGGACTTGGGCCATCCTCCACTGCACTCCCAAGCCACGGCAGAGAGCTGGCCTGGAAGAGGGGCAACCGACCGGGACTAGAACCCGGTGTGCCGGCGCCGCAGGCGGAGGATTAGCCTATTGAGCCACGGCGCCGGCCCCTAAAATTCAGATTTTTAATGGTAATAAGTAAAAGATCTTATTAGTGGGGGAAACAATGACAAGGAAGAACAAATGCACTCCAGAAAATACCTGTGCACTGTGAAAGAATAAAGACCTGTCCTAAACCACCTCCTGAGTTTAGCCTTAAGCCGTATGACAAACACAAACAGACGCTCAGAAAATGTGCACTGAATGAAACGCAGAAGGGTAGAGGACACATTCTCTCCAGAGCGTTAAGTACAACAAACTACAATGGAATGGAGCACAATCAGAAGGTGCCACAATTATGGCAAGACAGCTCTCAGTCTTAAACTACGTCAACCAGAAACAGTAAGACTTCTTATTTAGTAATTTCTAACCTGTGTAAATGCTATGGTTTGCATGTTTGAGATCCCCCAAAGGCCCATGTGTCAAAGGCTTGGTCCCCAAGTGGTGCCACTGAGAGGAGACTGTGCTCTTGGAAGGTCCTACTCCTAGAACTCTTGGGTAATCCTCCAGAGAGGATAGGAACACACCTCAGTGGGGCCCGCTCCAGTCTCTGCAGCTGGCTCCCATCGTGATGTGCTGCCACCTGCTGGTTCTGACCAGAAGGCACAGACGCCTCTGATGCCCAGTCTTGAACTCTGGACTCCAGAACTGCGAGCTAGTAAGTAAGCAGCCTGTGTCCAAGCGTGCCTTATCGCGATGAGAAGCTCACTAACACAGTCACGAGGTGGGCATCAGGCCTCGTGGTTAAGATGCCCACATCCCAAGTCAGAATGCCAAGGTTAAATTCCAGGCTCTAGATCCATACTCCAACTTCCTGCCACTACAGATCTTGGGAGGCAACAGGAATGGCTCAAGTAAGATGTTGTCCTTGCCACTGACATAGGAAACCTGGATTAAGTTCCAGGTGTCGACCCTGGGACCCAGGCTACTGGCGGCATGTGGGGAATAAAGTAGTGAATGGGACTGTACGTGTGCTCTGTCTCTCAAATAAAATTTAAAAATAATAAACATACTATTTTTATGATAAGGGAAAATATTTGAGAAAATGTTAAAATGTTCCATTTCATCTACTTGAAAGGCAGAACGTGAGAGAGGTGGATCTTCCACCCAGAAGTGGAGCCACCAAGACTCAATCTGGCACTGATGGGAAAGCAGACATCTTGGGGCAGCTTGACCCACTGCACCACAACACCCACCCCATGAATTGACTTTTTTTTTTTTTTTTAAAGATTCATTTTATTTATTGGGGCCGGTGTCATGGCATAGCAGGTAAAGCCACCATCTGTAACACTGGCATCCCATATAGGTGCCAGTTCATGTGCCAGCTGCTTCACTTCCAATCCAGCACTCTGCTAATGTGTCTCGGGAAAGAAGCAGAGGATGGCCCCAGTGCTTGGGCCCCTGTACCCACGTGGGAGACCCCGGATGAAACTCCTGGCTTCGGACTTGCCCAGCTCCTGCCAGTGAGGCCACTTGGGGAGTAAACCAGCAGATGGAAAATCTGTGTCTCTCCTCCCTCTCTATAACTCTACCTTGCAAACAAATATCTATAACCTAATAATAAATCACACCAACTAATAAATTATATTTAATGTAATCATACATATATAGTTTTAAAAAGATTTACTTATTTATTTGAAAGGCAGAGTTACAAAGAGGCAGAGGCAGAGGTGGGGAGAGAGGTATCTTCCATCCGCTGGTTCACTCCCCAAAGCCAGGAGCCAGGAGCTTCTTCCGGTCTCCTACATGGGTGCAGGGGCCCAAGGACTTGGGCCATCTTCTACTGCTTTCCCAGGCCGGAGCAAAGAGCTGGACTGGAAGAGGAGCAACTGGGATAAGAACCCGGAGTGCCGGCGCCACAGGCGGAGGATTAGCCAAGTGAGTCGCGGCACCGGCCAAAAGTATATATCTTTATAATAAACAGGTTTAAATAAAAAATACTAAATTCTGATGCAAAATACTATTCAGAGAGAAAGTCAAGTATCTTTAAATTTGTGGACAAATTTAAGCGTCAAATACAACCACTTAAATACTAACAGCTTTAGTAAAATTCTTGGAGGGTTATGTAAGAAACAGAGGAAATACACAGAAGGCGTTCATGAGGTGGGTGCAGGCACTTACATGATAGTGCAGTACACATGGTAGCATAGTTAAGTTTGATGAGCGTTTCCAAAATGAGAACGCACACACACAGCTTTTACCTGAAAGATCGTGCCTAGTAATAAAGCTCTCGGGGTTAGACGGAAACGCTCTCTCTCCCGTGGTAATGCGGCGTGCCACACAGATCATACAGGACTGCAAATCTACGATAAAAAATGCAACCAGATAAGGACTTCGGGACATCTCTGTTCAAGAAGCAAGCAAGGACACGGAACCCAACGAGAAGAGTCACAGCAGTGGAAGTCACACAACTCCAAGTTCGGCTGATGTTTATTCCACGAGCAATGTATGAACATTCCACGAACATGAATATTCCAAACACGGGACCGCTCTTACCTTCTCCCTCCTCCATCATAGCCCGGGGCTGAGACAGGGCAAAACACTGCATTGTTTCATATCTCTGGCGCATCTCAGGACTGGTGTTTATATCCTCCAGAAGACCATGCGCTGCTTTCATCAACATACGGCAATTGAATGTGTGGCTCTTTTGTCTCTGGGTCTCATTTGACCAGGAAACTCCATTAACTTTGGAAGACAGATTGAAATTACTTTTTAGAAAGCTGGTAGCTGAGTCAATGCTCATCAAGAATCAAGATGCATTTTCTCATTACCCGTGCCTTCCATAATAACGACACTAATGTTTCACAGAGAAAATACAGAAAACATTTGGATAATTCCAATTTGAACAGAAATCTCACTGTATACTTTCTCACTCACTCCATATTTTGATCCCATGAAAAAACAAATTTTCAATTGCCCAAAGCCATGTTAGAAGAGTTTGCTATTGCAGCTGGTATTGCGGCACAGCAGGCTAAGCCATGGCTGTGATGCCAGCTTCCAATATGAATGCCAGTTCTAGTCCCGGCTGCTCCACTTCCTATCCAGTTCCCTGCTAAGGTGCTTGGAAAGGCAGCATGTGGGAGACCCAGATGGAGTTCCAGCCTCCTGGCTCTGGCCTGGACAAGCCTCAGCTGTTGCAGCCATCTGGGGAGTGAACCAACAGATGGAAGATATTTCTCTCTCTCTCTCTCTCTCTCTCATATATAGATATATATATATGAGATATATATGTATATATATCTCTCATAGATATCTCATAGATATATATATGTATGTATCAGGAGAGAGAGATAGAGAGAGACAGAGACAGAGATAGAGATGGCTCTGCCTTTCAAATAAATTTACAAAGCAGGTAGCTATTAAATACTTGCTTTCTATACAAGTTTGATCTGTGATTTCCTAACAGGTACATTCTATTTTTAAAGAAATGATCGAGGAAAAAAATTTTAAAAATATTTAGAAAATACACATTAAGAGCCTACCTGTAGATTTTGGTAAGTTCTTAAGAAAATCCTTTCTATCTTCTTCATGTAAGATGTTGTAGACACTTGTGTTAACCAGGTCCTCCTGCTTATACTGCAGATATTGTGTAACATTTTCTGACACAAACACAATGTTTCCATCTCGATTCACCACAAACAGGAAACCATCCAATGCCTACCAAGGGATCCGTGAATACAGGCTGTTAGTGACAGCTGTAGTCCCCGCCTTCCTATGCTGAAACCCTGGCCCTCAGTATGGCTGTGCCCAAGGTGGGACCTCTCAAAGTAACTAAGGATAAAAGAGGCTGTAAGGGTGGGATTCTGGTCCAGTATGATTGGCATCCTAGTAAGTAGAGAGAGATGCCATGCCAGGGACACACACGCAGAGAAAGGGCCGTAGCACCGAGCGACAAACCAGTGAGAGAGCTCAGTGAGAGACCATTCTGCCGACACCTTGATCTTGCACTTCCAGCCTCCCGAATGGCAAGAAACAAATTCCTCTGCTGTTAAAGCCACCCCGTCTGCAGCACTCTGTCATGGCAACCTTAGACTAAGACAGCAGCCTTAACCATAAACAGAATTTGGAAAAAAATTAGCTGGCAAGAATTATCGCAGGCTGATGGAGTGGTTTAAACCGCCGCCTGCAGTGCTGCCATTCCACATGGGTGGCAGCGCAATTTCCAGCTGCTCCACTCCCCACCAGTTCCCTGCTACTGGGTCTGGGAAAGCTGCAGAGGATGGCCCAAGTGCTTGGCAGACCAGATGAAGCTCCTGGCTTCAGCATGGCCCAGGTCCGGCACATGTGGCCATATGGGGAGTGAGCCACTGGATGGAAGATTCATCCTCCCTCCCTCCCTCCCTCCCTCCCAATTCTACCTTTCAAATAAAACAAATACAACTCTAAAAAATTATGCCATATAATCAGCATACTACTATCACATGAATTTCAAGCAATGTGGTCTTTACATAACACCACTGTGTACAGCTCAATTTTTACAAAAATAAAAACTATGACAAATAACGGTGAGCTGCCATTTAATAACATCATTGCTAACACCACCAGGACCATAAAAAAGAAAAATAAATTGAAGGGGAAAAAAGGCATCTAAGGACAGCATAAAGGGCTGGCGCTGTGGTGCAGCAGGTAAAGTCGCCGCCCACAGTGCCAGCATCCCATGTAGGTGCCAGTTCTAGTCCCGGCTGCTCCACTTCCTATCCAGCTCTCTGCTATGGCCTGGGAAAGCAGTGGAAGATGGCCCAAGTCCTTGGGCTCCTGCACCTGCATGGGAAACCTGGAAGAAGCTCCCGCCATTTAGGAAGTGAACCAGTGGAATGGAACCTCTCTCTCTGCCTTTGCCTCTCTGAAACTCTGCCTTTCAAACACATAAATAAAAAGTGGATGGGCCCCTGCTACCCATGTGGGAGACCCAGATGGAGATTCAGTCACCTGGCATCAGCCTGGCCCAGCCCTAGTTTTTATGGCCGTTTGGGGAGACTGAACCAGCAGATGAAAGACCTTTCTCTCTGTATCTCCCTCTCTATTGCTCTGCCTTTCAAAGTAAATATTTAAAAAATAAAGTATCAACAAGGCACAACACAATACTGGATGGCCAAAATCTCTACACTTGCCTGAAGTAACAGGGGTCCTAAGGCGTCTTTGTCAATCACTCCCTGACCCGTGGAAGACACGTCAGCTTTCTGAACGTCATCATCATTGCAGATAGTTTTTCCTGAAAAGACAGAGACAACAGTATGAATATAGCAGGTTTTTCGTTATAGATTAAATCTACCTTCGATAGTCCATCAGACACAAAGACACAGATACATGCATACAGAACATTTCCTGGTAAGAGATAATGCTACAGTTTTAAGTTAAAATTAAACTTTGTAGTGACCCGGGAAAGCTAAATGCACTATTCCATGGCTTCCCGAAAGGTAACTACCATGTGACAGGGTAGCAACAATGACCTTCTTCCAACTCTGATCTGTTTCCTAAAGGGCAAAGATGGTCAATCCATCACCTTTTCCCAGGCACTAACCCAATCACTTGTGCTCTATCTAACCAAGGTAGCAAAAGGGCCGAACGCAGGGGCTGGCATTGCAGCCCAGCTTGCTGAGCCTGCAACTCCAGCAACCCATAGGAGCTCTGGTTTAAGCCTTGGCTGCTCCACTTCAGATCAAGCTCCCTACCAATGACCGGGGAAAAGCAGTGGAAGACGGCCCAAGTGTTTGGGCCTCCGCCACCCATGTATGAGACGTGGATAAAGCTCCTGGCTTCTGGCTTTGGTCTGGCCAAGCCCTGGCTATTGTGGCTATCTGGGTTCTGAAGCAGTGAATGGAAAATCTCTCTCTCTCTTCCTCTCTGTAACTCTTTCAAATAAATAAATTTTTAAAAAGGGGGGGAAGGGTAAAATATAAACAAATAAGTTTCTCCCAAAAGACTTGAGTATTTCTTACTTTGTATTACCTTGCTCTTTTATCTGACGAATCTGTCTTACTGTTTCCTTTAAAATCGCACATTTATCTGGTTTGACATTGAAAGTGTCAATATCACTAAGATTTGCAGATATCAGTTCCGCCAATTCTTCGATGTATTTACTCTCCTGCTCCCGTCTCCACTTTTCACCCGTGCAGGCAAGACTAAGAAGAAAGGAAGAAAGCCATGATGTTCCCATCAGAAAACAGCAATGAGAGGAGTCAGCTCTCTGAGCAGCAGCACTTTCATGTGGAAACAAACTCATCTCAGCCAACCGAAACCATCAAAATACTGCATGGGAGAATCGGTGTGACAGGAGAAATTCACGCAAACCTAATTCAATTCCACCTTTTTGGTAGGTGTCCTTGGGCAGAACTAGTCTCAGTTCCTTTATTTGGAAAATAGGAATAAATAATCTTTACCTAGCAGAGAGAATGGAACAAAGTATAACCAAAACAGGAATGGTACGTATTACTCATGGTGAGTTCTGTTAACTGTGGAATGTTTATTTTTCAATTATCACATTAAAACTCAAAAGACACTGACCTTTGCAAATACTTAAATCTACAGAGTGGCACCGCACAGATAACAGTACTTTGTTTCTTTCTGGTTTTTAAACTTTGATTTTATTCAGGAAAAGAAAATGTCACAAAGTCAAAATAAGAACTTATAATCTCTAAGGACACTGAAGATTCTTATAATAACCTGGATCATCCACCCCAACTCCTCCACCCTGGGAGTGGATTCTTAGAGTACCAGGCTGTTGCCATAAGTTTCGACCTTCTATCTGAATCAGCAATTTTGAAAGCCTCTAAAAAGAGTCTAGGCCGAGACCGTAAATCACTGGAAGCTGCAATGCAGTCCTCTCACGGAAGGAGTGGGCAGGGGAGCCCATGAGGCTCCTGCGCAGCAGTCACGTACCCTGGTCCCGGGGTGTCACACGGCAGCTTGCGCTTTCGCGATTCACTGGCCAGAGGATCCAAGGAGCTTTCTCCTAGTCCACTCATCTTGAACATACATCAGCAACTAAGAAAGAGCAAGAAATGAGATAGAAGCATTATAAAATACTCGTGACTCAATGAAGATGTTCCATGACTGACCGTATCTGGTAATTCAGTACTACTTTGATTTCTAAATTGTTAGGTAATTCCCAACACTTCATCATAAATTGCTATACTGAAACTACCCAAGTATATTCCACTGTAATTACTCAGAATGTTTAGCTCTGAAGCCACACCCCAAATCTGAGCGTGAGTTCCAGTCCCTGCTGCTCTGCTTCCCATCTAGCATTCCTGCTAACAACACCTGGAAAAGCAGCAGAAGATGGCCAAGTCTTTGGGCGCTGCCACCCAGGTGGGAGACCCGGATACAGTTCCAGGCTCCTGGTTTCAGCCTGGCCCAGCCCTGGCTGTTGTGGCCATTTGGAGAGAGAACCAGTGGACAGAAGATCTTTTCTCTCTCAGTCTCTCCCTCTCTCTCTCTACAACTCTTTCAAATAAATAAATAAATGTCAAAAAAACGAAAAGAATAATACACCATCCTCATATTCAGTAACAAGAAGAGACAGTCAAGTCTTCAGAGTTGACAAAATCCTAAACTTTATTTACACTCAAGTAAAGCACAAATAAATCTTCTCTTGTAATCTGGTAAGTGATAAAGTCTAGATTACTTAAGGTCTTTTCTGGTAGCACTCTTTCCCTTTGTATCATTCCATTCATATTAATCACTCAGTGAGCTTTTTCTTCTATTACATCAAAAGAAACCTAGACTGTGTAAATGACGTTGTAAAACTCTTCTTAGAAAGTAGACATAAAACAATGAAACTCCTGAGGTTGGGGGAACATTTTGACAGTGATCCACAGCAACAATTATTTTGATATTGACAGATGGAAAAATAGTATATTTTGGTTAAAGTTTTATTGAAGAAAAAGATAAATGAGATTAGTTTTTCTTACTGAGAACCAACTTTATTTTTTGTCACTATTTACTTACATTTTTGTTATCACACAAAAAAAGTTGATTCAGTCAAAGCCACTATTCTCAATAAATTCCAGTTAAAGTTTTTAACAAAAAAGCCAATTCATAGAATTGATAAGAGGACTGAGCAGTTTATTATAAATATGAGGTCCCAGCTTGATTCCATTTAATTTTTTTAAGGTTTTTTTTTTTTTTTTTTTTTTTTTTAATTTTGACAGGTAGAGTCATAGACAGTGAGAGACAGAGAGAAAGGTCTCCCTTCAGTTGGTTCACTCCCCAAATGGCCGCCATGGCTGGCGCTGCGCCGATCCAAAGCCAGGAGCCAGGTGATTCCTCCTGGTCTCCCATGCGGGTGCAGGGCCCAAGCACTTGGGCCATCCTCCACTGCCCTCCTGGGCCACAGCAGAGAGCTGGACTGGAAGAGGAGCAACCAGGACTAGAACCCGGCCCCCATATGGGATGTCGGCGCCGCAAGTGGAGGATTAACCAAGAGAGCCACGGTGCCGGCCCCTCCATTTAATTTCCTTAAATATTCCTAAATGCCCACACGGACGTGATCCCCCAGGACAAAGGGACCACAGAAGGTGCTGGAGAACCAACTTTAACACACAGTAGCTTGTAATTCCAGACACCTACAAAGCCTTTACTTACTAAGACGTTTTTCTGTACTAAACTCTTGTTTAGGACAAGACAATGAGAACCACTGAATTTTACATCAATAATCAAAGTCCAAACATTGTAAACCAGTTTTAGTGACTGAGACAGTGTCCAAATAACATAAATGTCCACTAGGTGGCAGAATACTACCAGAAAGGAAGACGGCAGTGGAGGATGCCCCAAACACTTGGGTCCCTGCACCCGCATGGGAGACCAGGAAGAAGCACCTGGCTCCTGGCTTCGGAATGGTGCGGCACCAGAAGTTGTGGCCATTTGGGGAGTGAACCAACGGAAGGAAGACCTTTCTCTCTGTCTCTAACTCTACCTGTCAAATAAATTTAAAAAATTTTTTAAAAATAAAAAAATTTTAAAAAGATTAAAACATAAAAATTAAAAAAAGATGCTGATCACACTTAAAATATGGACTTCTAAAAATTAAAAATCACATGAAAATAATCAGGAGTTCTAGACAATATAACTGTCTTTGTAGATGTTCTAGGTATACACTAAATACCAATGAAATTCATTTTATATTTTGAAAGTAAAGCATAAAGGATGAAAGGCTGAAATGTCTCAAGAATGTGTATTTTCCCCTTGACATGATTTTAAATGAAAAAGAGAAAGTAACTTAAATTTGACTGAAAAGGACTCAATATTATGATTTTAAAGCATAACAGAATTACACAATCTCAGGAAATCTATATTTTCAAAATTTTCAATGTCGAAAAAAGTCATCATCGGGTCAGCATTGTGGCATAGTGGGTAACCCCACCACCTGCAACATGGGCATCCCACACGAGCACTGGCTCAAGTCCTGACTGCTCCACTTCCGATCCAGCTCCCTGCTGAAGGCCTGGGAAAAGCAGCAGAGGATGGTTCAAGTGTTTGGGTACCTACCATCCAGTGGGAGACCCAGAAGAAGCACCTGGCTCCTGGCTTCAGATCGGCTCAGCTCCAGCCATTGTGGCCATTTGAGGAGTGAACCAGCAGATGAAAGACCTCTTTCTCTCTCTCTACCTTTGTAAAATAATTTAAAAAAAAAAAAAAAAAGAACATTATTGGGTCCGGCACTGTGGCTCACTTGGTTAATCCTCCACCTGCAGCACCAGCATCTCATATGGGCGCTGGTTCTGTCCCAGTTGCCCCTCTTCCAGTCCAGCTCTCTGCTGTGGCCCAGAAGGGCAGTGGGGGATGGCCCAAGTGCTTGGGTCCCTGCACCCGCATGGGAGACCAGGAGAAGCACCTGGCTCCTGGCTTCAGATCGGCGCAGCTCCGGCCGTTGCAGCCATTTGGGGAGTGAACCAACAGAGGGAAGACCTTTCTCTCTGTCTCTCTCTCTCTCTCAGTCTATAACTCTACCTGTCAAAAAAAAAAAAAAAAGAGTGTGCTTATCGTTTGTACCAACTGACCTTTCCTAAAATCATGCAATGTTGAGTTGGGTCGTAAATCTATTCCCATGCCAGAATCTTATCAATACATAAGAAATGTAGAAAGATTAGGTGCCAAAATATCCACAACACTTGGGTATTTTTAGTATCCTGCAGAATTAGAATCCCACGAACTATGAACACTGTAGCCCTTACGTGGTTTGTTCCTTCAGTCATTGCAAACACTGAAAGTAGGGACTCAATGGTTATTTGCCTGCTCACTTCATGTTTATATCTCCCACAACCACTGGTTATTTTTAAACCAAGTCTGATTATTTAATGTTTCTATAAATCTCATTCTTTGCTATTAATAAAGCCTCCATTTTTAAAATCTAACTGTACCCGAAGCACATCTTCAACATCTTCAGACCAAAAAAAAAAAAGCCTTACAGTTAAGTTAACGTTTGCACACTGAGGTGCAACTTCACAGGGAGGACCTGAAAAAACAACAGAGGGGGTTACTAAATATTTTTAGTTAAACGTTGCCTTTGTCTTGCACAGAACATGTAGATGAACCTCTTTAATTTAGTAAAATTTTTTTTTTTTTTTGACAGGCAGAGTGGATAGTGAGAGAGAGAGACAGAGAGAAAGGTCTTCCTTTGCTGTTGGTTCACCCTCCAATGGCCGCTGCAGCCGGCACACCGCGCTGATCCGATGGCAGGAGCCAGGTGCTTCTCCTGGTCTCCCATGGGGTGCAGGGCCCAAGCACTTGGGCCATCCTCCACTGCACTCCCGGGCCACAGCAGAGAGCTGGCCTGGAAGAGGGCAACCGGGACAGAATCCGGCACCCTGACCGGGACTAGAATCCGGTGTGCCGGCGCCGCAAGGGGGAGGATTAGCCTAGTGAGCTGCGGCGCCGGCCTTAATTTAGTAAATATTTTTAAGAGGGACCAGTGCTGTGGCATAGTGGGTAAAGCCGCCATCTGCAGTGCCAGCATCCCATATGGGTGCTGGTTCAAGTCCTGGCTGCTCCACTTCCTATCCAGCTCTCTGCTATGGCCTGGGAAAGCAGTGGAAGATGGCCCAAAGGGGCCCCTGCAGCCACGTGGGAGACCCAGAGGAAGCTCCTGGCTCCTGTCTGAGGATCAGTTCAGCTCCAGCTGTTGTGGTCATCTGAGGAGTGAACCAGCAGATGGAAGACTTTTCTGTCTCTGCCTCTCTGTAATTCTCCAGTCAAATAAATAAATAAATCTTTAAAAAATATTTAAGAGGGGCCGGCGCCGCGGCTCACTAGGCTAATCCTCCGCCTAGCGGCACCGGCACACCGGGTTCTAGTCCCGGTCGGGGCGCCGGATTCTGTCCCGGTTGCCCCTCTTCCAGGCCAGCCCTCTGCTGTGGCCGGGGAGTGCAGTGGAGGATGGCCCAGGTGCTTGGGCCCTGCACCCCAGGGGAGACCAGGAAAAGCACCTAGCTCCTGGCTCCTGCCATCGATCAGCGCGGTGCGCCGGCCGCAGCGCGCCGGCCGCGGCGGCCATTGGAGGGTGAACCAACGGCAAAGGAAGACCTTTCTCTCTGTCTCTCTCTCTCTCACTGTCCACTCTGCCTGTCAAAAAAAAAAAAAAAAATATTTAAGAGGTAGAGATGCTTTGTTATTGTAGCTTAAAAAAAAGACCATAAAATTTCTGAAATTCTTTTAATTTTTTTCCATACTTATTAAAAGTTGTTTACCAACTTATTTCTGTTTGAAGCACGTCATTCTTCCCAATCTCTTGCCAAAAAGTGGGTTTCTGCTAATGAACCGAGCAGACATCTAATATTTCACATGCCTTTTGAGCTGTGTAAGTTGATATTTGAATATCTGATAATATGTTTTATTATGTAATTGATAAAATGGCGATGTGCATTAATATTAGTTCAACCGTGTACTTATACTGTGTAGGAATGCGTGGTTACAGTTCTATGGGAGAAATAATTTGTCAAGTGTTCACCAGCTTGTGCACGAGCTTAAATACATAATGAAACACATTTATCATTAAAAAATCTAAATAATCAATTAATATCAAGCTTCTTCTAAATTCTGCTTTCCTATAGCTGAAGATTATCACCTACACAGATGAATAGAATCAGGACGTAACTGTACACACACATACCCCAATTCACTGTTTAACTGGAAATGATACTTGAACGACCTTCCAGGTTAAACATAATCCAATCAGAGATGATTTTTGCAAGTCTCTTGTGCACACTATAAAAAAGGACCAGAGTGGAGAACTTTTACTGAATCAGAATCAAAAGCAAACATAAATGCAATAGTTCAACAGGACCTCCATCACACAGATTCTTGTGCCACTTTCGCAATTATTTCCCTTATCTGAAATGTTTCTACTGAAGAGGTTTTATGTTATATGACTTAGATGTATTAATGTGACGATGCACACACTTAAGGAGAGTCTGTGCAATTATTCAAATACAGAAGAGTAGCAACCTTCAATGCCACTTTTCTGTTACTCCAAAAAGTCAGCAGCACACGCATGATATGATGTAAACTGAGCAAGAAGCATCAAGATACTGGATAGAATGTTTTGAATAAATACCATAGGCCTTTCTATACGTAACAATCAAGCTATGGAATATATTAAAACTTAGGCAGCCACAGAATGTAATTGTTAGAAATAAACATTCATGAAATAATTGAGGCTCAAAAGCAGCAAAGGCTCATACTTGTAGCTCAAAAATGACAAACTTTGGTGGATGACTTGGAAGCATTAGCAGTTTTCTTTTTGGTTGTTTGGGGTTTAGACAGGAGAAAAGCTTGATTATATACAAATGGACAAGGATACAGGAAGTACTCTCTGTCCAAAAGGAAAAGATATCAATCAACAATACCAGTGTGTTCACTCTGAGCAAGAAGTTATCTTGGAGACCTTAGAATTGTCATGCTAGGCCAAAACCTCAATTGGTATAGATACCCACTAAAATATTTCATTTTTCCTGAACTGATTAGGGAGAGAGAAGGTAACTTTTGTGGCAATATAACACTGGGCATATCACATACATTGGTAATTACACACAAGTAATTTATAAAAGTACATATTATTCCTCTGGAACTACAGTATATTTTAATACTTCATAACCAACAAAATATTTGTATATCAAATATCTCTTGCAGGGCTGGTGTTGTCGCTCAGCAGGTTAGGCCACCACCTGCGACACCAGCACCCCATATGAGTGCCAGTTCAAGTCCTTGTTGTTCTACTTCTGATCCAGCTCCCTGCCAACATGCCTGGGAAAGCAACCAAGGACGGCCCAACCCCTTCGGCCCCTGTACCAACACAGACTCAGATGCAGCTCCTGGCTTCAGCCTGGACCAGCTCTGGCACTGCAGCCATTTGGGGAGTGAATCAGCAGATGGAAGATAGCTCTGTCTCTGTCTATCCTTCTGTCTTTCAAATAAATAAATCTTTAAAAGAAATATATTTCTTGGGCATTTTATTCACCACCAGCACCATCACCACCACAAAAACAAACCAATGAATCACATTTCCAACCAGTTAGCCAGAATCAGTAAGAGCACTGATGGGCTGTGCCATCCATGGTTTAGGGGCATGTCATATAAGGCTCAAAGACAAGAAGCTGCTTGACTTTGGCTGGTGCTAATCCTGCTTTTCCCCTCATGCTCCCAAACCTAACTATTACTCTCCAAGTCACTGGATAAATTGATTCCTCTGATGGCCTAACATGATTGACCATGACCCTTATCTCCACTTCAACCAGACAGTGGCTCACACAGCAAAAAGAAACTGAGGGTCCAGCGTTGCGGCCATTTAGGGAGTGAACCAGCAGATGGAAGATAGCTCTCTCCCTCTCTCTCTCTCCCCCCCTCCCTCACTCTTTCCCCTCTCTCCCTTTTCCCTCTCTCCCTTTCCCCTCTGCCTTTCAAGTAAATAAATCCTAAAAAAAAATAGAAAAGCAGAAAACATACCCCTAAAGGAGAGCCTGTCAAGTATTTTTATTCCTGGGTTTGTTAAGATTAAACGTGGAGGCCAATGACTTCTGGATGCCCCAGCAGGTAGTCAGCTGGTCCTCTGAAGTCTGCCTCCCTTGCACAACATCTGGTTAAACACAGTAATTAGGGAGACTTTCTGAGCATCTCTTGAGAATCACAGTAACTTAAAGTTTTCAATCAACAGCTGTGGATTTGAATTGATTTATTGAAAACTGCTTGAAAGACCACGAAGAACCAAGACTGCTCAAGTCAAAAACAAGACTGGATGAGGGGCGGGGTCGGCCAGGAATCAAAGCTTCTGGGAGGAACTTGAGGCATTCACACACAAAGGCTCCACTAGAAACTCAAGTTATAAATTAGCATCCCTACTCAGACAACTCAGCTGCAGTTACCATTAGTTAATCTAAAGGCTTAATTCTAAGAGATCATTTTTTCTAAAACCCCAAAATAAAAGGCTTTTTTGAATGTATTACCCATATGCTGAACAGTAAGTACAGCTCCAGAAAACTGGCACTATGGAGGGAAAAACTGAAGAAAAACATAACCAGTTGTACACTGGGGTCGGGGGAAGAGACAGGTGCATAAGCCTTCATGAAAGCTCCCTCACCAGCTGGAGATTCTTCCAGCAGGGTCTCCTGCCTTTACGCGTCCTGTTAACCAGGAAAGGAGGACAAGAGCCACAGAGTGACAAGGAGAAAAGGTTTAAATAAAAACAACATGGCAAAACCCTTCTGTCAAGCTGCTAATAATTGAATATGTTTAGTAGGATACAGCAAAAACCACATAATGCAATCAATTTTCAGCTTGATTCAATTACAGCTCAAAACACTAGGCACTTTAGGTTCAAGAAACAGAGATGAATGACACCACAAACTAACTCTCCAACTAGCAGAAAACATATAAAGAATTCCAATTTGCTAAGTGTTTCAATGTTGCAGTACCACAGCAACCCAACCAACAGGAAACTAAACAAAAAGTATGCACCTGTCATCTATAACAAACTACCCTAGAGGAGACAACTCACACAAGCAAACAGTATGACCTTAAGTCCTGCTAGTTTCTCCACTTCTATTTTTATAATTCCAACACATTGGGAAAGAGGCTAGCAAGGAACAACAAAGTAAAAAATGCTACAGATATAAACTGAACTGAATGTAATTTAACTATTTTAGGCAAAAAGTTTCATTCCCTCTTCACCATCTGTATGCCCTGCCTTCTCACTCTTAACAGGCTCCTTCAAATTTATGCTCAGTTTAAACCTGATGAAGTTGAAGTCAAACACCACTCCTCGGGGGTTCTGGTCCCATAACTGGAAAAACCAATTAACAAACGCAGGTGTTAGTTTCAACTGGAAGCTTGTTGCCAAGAGGCTTCTCAACCTCTACATGGACAACAAAGTGGAAGTTCACAAATATACACTGTGCAGAGGGAGTTAATTCCACCTAAACTGAATTACCCTCTCCTGACGGCATCCTAACTAGCTGTTTAACTCTTGTTCTAGGGTTACACTGACTCCTACAGTTTAATGCACTGAATCTCTCTGCTATCTAAGATCTAAATTTAAATTTATAGGCTTGGAGTGGAGAGGAGAGGAGAGGAGAGAAAGAGAGAGAGAAAGAGAGAGAGAGAGAGAGAAATAAAGAAAGAAAGACCTCGAACCTCTCATAGAAAGTCCCTCCACCCCCCTTTAAAAAAAAAAAAAGGATTTATTTATTTGAAAGTCAGAGTTGGGGGGGGGGGGGGTTCATCCATCTGCTTATTCACTCCCCAAATATCCACAAGGAGTAGGGCTGGGCCAGGCCAAAGCCAAGAGCCTCATCCAGGTCTCCCAGGTGTGTACAGGGGCCCAAGCACTTGAGCCATTCTCCACTTCTTTCTCAGGAGCATTAGCGGGGAACATGATCAGAAGTGGAGCAGCCAGGACTCAAGCTGGTACCCAAATGGGATGCCAGCACTACAGACGGCAGCTTAACCTGCTGTGTGCCACAGCACCAACCCCAAGTTCTCCCTTCTTTATCCTAACGTTCTTTTCATATTTTCATTGTAACATTTTATACACTACATTCTGTTTCTATTGACTTTTCATCTGTCTATATTTTTTCTAATTTCTTCTAATTTTTATTTATTTAGTTTATCTGAGAAGCAGAGAGAGAGAAAATCTCCCAACTGCTTATTCATTCCCAAATGCTCCCAATACCTGGCACTGTGCCAGGTCAAAGCCAGGAACCCAGAACTCAATCCATGTCTCCCATGTATGCAGCAGAAACCCAACTGCTTGAGCTGTCCACCACCTGCTGCCTTCCGGGGTTCAGCGTAGCAGGAAGCTAGATCAGGAACCAGGAAATGAAACCCAGCACTCCAGTGTGGGATGCAATCACCCTAACTGATATCTTAAGCACTAGGTCAAGTATCTGCCCTATCCACTCTTAGTATTGTAAGCTTTAAATAAATACAAAAACTTGTATAAGACTCTTACTACAAACTCCTCTTTTTTATTACTTGATACCACCATTCCTCTGGTTCCTTTTACCAACTCTTATTCTTCTTTGCATTCTTTTTTATCTATTGTACTTGTGATCAAGCCCATGCCTTCCCAAATTCAGAAGTACATTGTGGAAGGAAAGGGGAGGAAAAGAAGTCACAAACTTTATAGAACACTTTCACTACTTTGACTTGTCATTTTCCATTTAGGTATTCCCCACCAAAAATAGTGCCTTCTGGCTGCCTATCCAATAAAACTCAAAGGCTTGAATCCTTCCCCAGCTTGACTATGATATAACAAGAAGACAATACAGCTTCATTGGAATCAAACTTAAGAGTTCATCCCAGTATCACTTCAGGTAAATACCCTTCACCTGTGAAACCCTGTAACCTGTACAACTGAGGATAATCATACCTTACATTTCATGTCTATTTAAGGATAGAAATCTATACACAGCAAGCAACTGACAGTGGGAATAGTGGTGATCCCTCCAAGGTACACAACACCAAGAACAAAGATGTATGTTCAGCAACACTAATTTTGTTCTCATTTGAAATACAAATAACTACAAATACCCCATAGTGCAACCAATTAAAAAGATTCATACACAATAAATTAAGCAGAACTATTCAGGCTATTTGAAACTTACAGACAGCTGACTGGAATTCAAAACATTTTCCCACTGAAATATAGTGGTGAGAGGCAGCTAGTAGTTAACACACAGTTATGAAAACAGAATAAACCGGCCGGCACCGCG